GTATATAATCTGAACTGATATCCATTTTTATTGTTAAATATCAACTGAAATAAAAATATCAATGAATGTTTTGCATAGAGCGTTATATATTTCGAATACCGATAAGTCCTTTCGCAATTACTGCTATATAATTACATCAACATTCTTCTTGAGATTAATTTTTTATATAATTCTAGTTTATTAAAAATAATATCCAATTAATTCATTAGTTTTCTCTCTATCTTGCATTAGTTCTCTCTCTATTTTAATAATTTAATTTTTAAAGAAAATATAATGTCACACATAGTATAGGATATAGAAATTATCAATATAAAGTAAAGTGTATGTTTAAAACTATTTATAATATAAAATTAATTTTTATTAAATTTTATTAAATATATTTGTGTATAAAATATCAATTTGGAATGTACAATATGTTACTAAACTTGTTAAATTTAATTAACTTGTTCAGTTGTTCTGTTAATTATTCTGGCAATTACTTAGCGTTATTTTGCAAAAATCACTTCATCATGGAAAAAAATTAATCAAAATAAAAAATTAAAATTAAATTTAATACGAGAATAGAAAATAAATAATACACTTTTAATTATATAATTAAGGAAGAAATGTGTGAATAGTAATTATTTTAGCGATTTATTGGAATATATTACATGACCTGTAACCTATGTGTTTTTATTTGGCATTGACCTGCAAGATGTAGAGAGAAAAGATAACGATAATATATGTAATTATACTAAATTGCATATATGCATACTTTGCTTTCTCGGGTTAAGGACGACAAGAAATATCGCAATGATTTCCGCATTCTGCGTAGATGCTCACAAAACACAATGTTTTCGTGGAATACATCATTAATGTAAAAAGAAAACGCGCGAATATTGCAAATGTGTTTCTTTGGAAATTAGGACATTATATTTATGGCAAAGCGTCATGCTACATTGGCAAAAATTGAAAAACATTGACCACATAAAGGGAAAAACGCATATAATGTATATCTAAAGAAAATTTGCACGAATCGTAAAAGGAATAATAAATAATTATATGATAATATCATGCAGAATTCATGTTTTTCGTTCTCTCAAAAATATTTTATTAATTATATATTTTATTATTTTTATTATATTTAAAATCTTAATTTTTTTATTTAAAATTTTTTTTTATAGTCGACACATATCTTTAATATAATTAAATTATTTTCCCCTTGTTTTGCCTTATTTTGCATTTATTCTAAAAATTGCTACTGATTGTTGATTCTTAAAAATATTCATTTTAAATGATCTATAATTCGCAATAAAATTTACGATAAAAATTTATTTTTAATTTTATGTACCACGTATTTAAAGCCAGTTTTTGAATGATCTACTTAATTTGCAATACATAAAATTCAAGCTATAATTCTGTGTATTTATAATTTTATATTTATAATTTATTTTTATTTATTATATATTTTTATTTATAATTTATAATTTCTGCATATCCTAAAATTTTAATGGATATGCAGTCTGATGTATGTTTTATACATGTATGTATGTTAATTTTCTGTTTTATGTAATATATCGGGTATATATTAAAATTATATGTAAATAAAATTCTAAAATTTTATGATATATAACTAAATATAAAACTATAAATATAATTTTAATCTGAATTTTATTTCGAATTATAGATCATCTAAAATAAACTATAATTACAAAATGAAATAAATGTTTTAAAATCATCATGTATATATAATCGTTCTTCATACTTTATTAATTTTATTCAAATTTTCCGTGTATTATTTTATGTGTGTCTATTTCCAGAGAGAGAGTATTTTATACGAGATATAATAAAATAGTTAACATAATTGTAGCATTATATAAATTTTTCATATTGTATGTATATTACGCATAACTGTTTCAAGTAAACCACCGTGACCTATTTTGAGCGTTCTAATAAATAATAGCCAACAAAGGTATATCGTATTACGTTAATTGGTGAAAGTATTGATTTTATATTATTAAAGTTCGATTGCATTGCAATTTCTACAACGGGACTAATAATAAAATAGTAGACTATCTATCATCAGATCATCGCGTATACGTATTTCTGTGTATATATGCAAAAATGGTAAAACCTCAGGAAATAATATAACATTCTGATATTATCATTGCATAAAAAAAATCGCAGTAATGAAAAATAACCACTCACCGGTACGATGTGCAACATAGCTCGACGGCGCTTCCTCGGGATTCCTCCTTCTCTCCTCTCCTCCTTGCTGCTTCTTCATGGCACTCACACGACACTCGCGAAAACACTGTTAATTACGCTCGCGCGTGCACTAATCAGCAAGATACGATGATCACGCGGCACTTTGCACGGCACTCTCGACGTTAATCGCATACGACGTGCACCTTATTATATCGCGACAGGATAATAACACGGAAACTAGTCACGTGAAGTTTGCTACGACCCATTCGGCGCTTGAAATTCACGCGCGAGATTTATCAGGTTGCTGTACCTATTGCTGACAAGTACGTTTTCGTTCTGTAAAATGATTATTTTGCACGTTTAAACATTATAAATAAATAAAATCATAAGAATAAAAATAAATATCCGAAAATATATCGTTGTTTTATTAATGTTGATAGATTTCGATCGAGTAGATTGTATAAGAAATGCGTTTTTCGATAAATTATCGATGCGTAAATACGAATGTTCATACGCACGGTTGATAAATATTAAGTTACGTAATTAAATTACCAATTAAACAAAAAGAATTTAAAAAAGAACTTAATTACGCGTAATTATATATCTATTACACGAATTAATTAATCACTAGTTGTAATTGTATAGAAAATGATCGTGTTTAGAATAATAATATGACGATATACGGAGCTACAACCTGCTCATTCGAATCTCGGTGCGTGAATGACGAGCTAAGTCACTACTATAGGAATGTAAACAACACGTATAGCAAGATAAGACACGTATAACAAGGTAAGGAACGTAAACAATAGCGCGCTATTCACTGTGTATTTCATTCATAGCTGTTACAAAATATTTAATGTATACAAGATAAATGTGTGAATGTGTTTATGTAATTCGCGTATTACTGTGTGCTATTAATCCGAAAATAATAAGCAAATCAAGATCTACGTGTAAATTAAAACACGGTAAGAAATATATTCGCGAATCAAAATATTAAAGAAATAATGATTGCTCTCTATATTATAATGAAACCATAATTTTTAATTGTTATTCTTTATCTTTTCGATATTTATTTTGTGATGATGAATAAAATCTATGTTTCGAAACATTGATTGTTTCGATACAAAATTACGAAATATTAATCGTGATAATTAATTCTCGCGAATTGCTAACCGTAATTGTAAATTGTTAACCGTAATTGTAAAAAATAATCACACACGTTTAGTAATAATATACAAAGTGATTTATGTTACCTGCTCATTCGAGTGTCAGCGTCTGAATGGCAACAAGGTCAGGCATATAAGGCACAGGAAACATCTATTATATAGTTAATTCGTAAGGAAAGGAGAAAAAAGAGCGATATGAAATATTTAACATATTACAAAAATACTTACGGAATACTTTAGTTCTTGAAAAAATATTGAATCAAAATTATATAAAATTTGAGATTTTATAAAATTTTACTTTTAATTGTTATAATTACCTCCATCATATGATTCGTCTTTAATTGGAAAAATAAGCTAATAATTAATTTAAATTTATGACAAATTTAAAACGCTATGATATATATTCGAATTCACATTAAAGAAATAATTATTATTCTAAGTTGCAATAGTTTTTAAATCGTTTTGATTTATATCCTTAAATGAATAAATATTTATGAGAAATACTTTCGAAAAATATTCATAAGTTTATCGAAATGATAATCGCAGAAAATAATAAATCACACGAGTTACTACAATGTCATATACAATAATTATAATAAAAAATGATTAAGTTGAACGCAGACATTAGATCTGTTAAATACAGTAAAAAACGAGCGCCGGACAATGAAATAGTGAAATATATTTAATTTTATTTAATATATATTAAAATATTAAAAATAAATTATATTTAAAGTATAATAAATGTTAATTATATTTAAAAAAATATATTTTTTTATTTTGTTCCTTATGTTGCGATATGTTTGTTCTTTTATTATTTTAGAATGTGTAAATGATTTGTATGCGTCCAGATGTACTATAAGGTATCAATTGAGTCAATATTGTACCACTTTATTACTTGTCATGAAAAAGAAAAAAAAACATAGAGTACATAGAGAATATAATTCAATAAAACATTCAAAGCTTAAAATTAATTTGTCGATAAACGCAAACAATATACAGGAATGTATTTTCATGAGTAATTAATCAAACTAAAATATATAATACACAATATTCTTGTGAATTAGCTTTTACGTAAAAGAATCGATTTTTATTTTTTTTCTACCATTTTGGAAGATGAAATGGGGATATGGAAAAAATAAACAAAACTGCAAAATTAATAACGTAATATAAAGACGAGATTATCGTACAGGCAAATGGCTAATAATTATATAATCATTCTTTAAAATAGAATTATACTTTTGCAGCGTTTGCAGCGTTTTTTATTTTTAAGGAGATTTATATAGAAGAATCACAGATCACTAAGCTATCTTTCTACTTTTCTTCTCTCTATGAAAGAATATAACGATATAATCAAGCCGATTTAAAAACTACTATTTATTGTCTGATCAACAGTTCGTGAGTTATTAAAATATATCTCAATTATATAACAGTTATATCTTTATAAATGATTTTCTATCTTGTATTTTTAGCCGATAAAGAAGGATAAATATTCTGAAATTAATTATGTGTCGTTGGAAACAAATATTATTCCTCGATAATATAAATAATCGTCAATTATATCTTTTTATTAGTACTTATCTGCCGCATGGGATATAAAAATATTGACTTTATATAATATTTTATATATGACGAAGAATAGTTTGTTGGTAAAATTCAAGATACCTCGATTATTTTCGAAAATCTCAGAATTTGGAATAACTTGGAGAAAAATTATTTAAATGTTATAGTTATATTATTAAAATATACCTTGAGTCAGGAAAATTTGATACAAGAAGATTGCAATTATTTTCCTTGCGTTTGTTTTATTCCTTAAGACCGCAACGATTGCAATCGTTTGACCAAAGTTTGTCGATGACGCGATTTTGAATCTTTTTTCTTCTTAATTTTTTATCTTAGACGGACTTAAAATCTCGTTCCGTCCGCGCGCACGGAAGTGCAGTTGCATCTTTTAGCACGCGCAGTCACAAGCGCAACGACGTACGCGTTTCTCACGACGATGAAGGAAGACTTCCTCTGGCACGGAGCGCACAGAACGTGGTTGGACATCTGTGAATAATTGAATATTTTTTTATTATCAATTTTGAAGTTTAATTACTTTTAATATATACAACTCCATTTAAATCTCTTTCTCTTTTTCTCTTTAATGTATATATTACATCTTACATCATTTGTATTTTCTAATAATATTGTTTATATCATTATAAATTTTCTCAAAGGAGATTTTTGCAACTATTAATGAATTAAAGATAGCAATAAAAAATTTCAAATCCAGATGAATTTTTACTTACAATGCGGACGGGTTTCTTCCTCTTGCATTGATTGGTGTTGTTGTTGTTGTTGTTGTTGTTGTTGTTGTTGTTGCGATTGTTGTTGTTCCTGTGGCTGCTGCTGTTGTTGCTGTTGAATCATCATGTGCACCTCCTGAGGCTGCTCTTGTTGTCGTTGTTCGGATTGTTGCTCCGTGGACTGGCCATCAGTCACATCGGCACGTGCTTCTACTGGTACCTCCAAGGACTCAACTGGTCTTAACGCAAATCTCGGAACAGGGAAAGCACGACCTTCTACGACCTATAATTCCAGAAATTGTTTTCTCTTAATTAATCTATTTTTATTAACTTCTTATTTATTAAGAACGACAGTATCAAATTATTCAATGCTTCGATAAAGAAACAAAAGAGATATTTCTTTAATTTAATTTCAAATATATAATAATTAAATAATTTTCATATATATTATCTATATTAATTCATTTAAAATGTTTTATCTTTACTTTAGAAATTAATTAAAATACATGATTTTATTTTTTATTTAAATAATATATCAAAAACATTAAATAATCCTTAATAAATACATTCTGAGATCGTAATCGATTTTTTAAATAAAAAATATAATATCTAGATTAAATTCATGTAGAATTTATTACATATTAAATATATTAAAGAATCTAATATTATACGATTATCTGAGAATTATCTGAGAATTAAAAAAATATTAAATAACGTCATTATTTATTATTTTACCTGGTGAATTATGTTGCGGATCTCCACAGGTACGGGGAAGTTTCTTTCGATTTCGTCACCTTCGTCCTCCGGACCTGGGAAAGGTTTCGCTTCCTGCTGTTCGTCGGCGCCATCCGGGCGTTGACGACCTTCAATATTTCCATGCTCGATCAAATTTCTCACTTCCACCGGAAGTGGGAACGGTCCTAATGGTATTGGTCTCGCGTTTTCCGGGAACGGCTTGAGTTCCTGTTAGCATATATGTTACAACATATGTTTACATACATAATAAATACGTTTTAATACATTTATTTATCACACATTTGCTAAGATAATTTATTGTAAAAATTTTATATCGTTAATTTTATATCAAAATTCTTACATAACTTTATTATCAAAATACATTAAATAAAACATATGTGAAATTATGATTCCTACATTCTTTCCAATTACTATTTTACGATTTAATGTAAATAATTTAATGTAAGATTTAAAGATAAATAATTTAGTGTAAGATAAGGTAAGATTTAATGTAAAATAAATAAGTAAACTTGCCTCACGACGTGCTCCGTCTGGTACCTGGGCCGGGAATGATCTAGCTTCGCCAGTGATGTGCTGGATGATATTCTTGATTTCTAATGGTACTTGCTGAATTATTCTTCTGATCTCGATAGGAATGCCCTGGAAAGGTGAGCGTGGCTTCTCAGGTGCAACTTGAGGCGGAGCAGGTGGTCTCTGTTCAGTCTGCGGGATCATCACGGGCGATGCTTGATGCATTCTGTGATCTTGAACCTGCGCCTCAGCTTGTGGAGGAGGCGGGGGCATCATGACCGGACCTTGCTGCTCCTGATTGTAAGTATTGAGAATTTGCTCGGGCTGCTGCTGATACATCACCGAGATTTGCGGTTCCTGACGAGACTCCGGAGAAATTGGTCGCATTCCTCTCAACGGGTCCATCGGGAAGTGACGCAGTTCGATAGGAATCTGACGCACCTCGATCTGCATTATCAATATGGCATAATTAACCACTGCATTGAATAAATTATTAATAGATAAATTCTATTTAGGTCAAGTTTATTACATCGCTCGACAAACAAAATTCACCTGTGGTCCCATTTGATTGTTCTGAGGTGGCATCATAGGCATTTGCGGACCCATTCGAGGTGGTCTCATCTCCATAGTTAGCTGAGGAAGATTACGGAGTTCAGGAGGAAGTATACCTGGCGGGATGTGATTCAATCCTCGTGGGTCGCTGAGCGGCAATTGCTGCATGTCGGGAACTTGATACTGTGTGTGTATTTGATATTGATGGTAGTTTGGATTCGGTTCCTGGGATTGAAGGGGAATTTGCACGGTGCCTAGAGGCACGATGATCGGAGTGAGCATTTCTTGCTCCTGTTGTCTACAAAAATAGAAACAATAATAATAAAGATGTTATACGCTTTATTTGTTTACTCATATAAAAATTATAACTCGTATAAAAATATTTAATTCTTTATTTCTGTTGCTTGTTTATTATTTTATTACTCGATAATTGTAAAAATGATTTTTTTGCAATGCAAGTTATTCATGTTGTCCGAACACTTTATCATTAGATCTTAACTTAATATCATTTACTCATCATTCAACGTCTTAATTTATATTTTCCTCTGTTACTTACTCCTGATTTGGATTGCCTGATTCACAAAGGATAGCAACCCGTTCGCCGCTCAGTCTTTGGAAACGCTGTGGATCAGTACTGTTATCTAAACCGTTGTCGCCAGTTCCGTCCATCACTTCATCGGCTCGTCGTCTTTCAACCACGCATGAAACTCTGCTACGAGCTTGCTGAATTAACGTCTGGAAGATTGAAATCACAATTCAAACAACTATGTCAATATCTTTGCAAAACTGGGTGGTATAAAAATTCTTAATAAAATTATATAAAGCTATATGATATTTTATATTATATGATATTAATGTAAAATTGTTATTATATGATAATTCTCTGATATGATAATTATATGATAATTAATATTACTTGTGAGGCAAGTGCATGAAAAAATTGGTTTCAACTTGTATAAGAATTGTAAGATGATATTTACGCCGGCAATGTCGTCGAGATCCAATTGAAGAGGAAGCTTAATGTGCACGGGAGGAAATTCATCGTCATCGTAATCGTCGTCATCATCGCTGCTGTCACTATCAGATTTTGAACTATTCTCTCCTTCTCCTTGGACCTTTATGTCCTTAGTATCGGGGACCTCTTTCTTCGTTGGCGCAGCAAGACTTTGCAGAGAATCCTTCGATTCGATAGATTCCTGCAAAGAAAATAGTCTTATTTAAATTCTGAGACATTCATAAATAATATTTTTTTGAAAAAAAGTCCTGTTTTTATCATTTATTTGAATGCATTATTGTATGTCTATATTATTAAAAAAATTAACCTTAAAGGGATATATCAATATATTATTTTATATTCAATTAAAATTTATAAATTAAATTTTAATTTTCTTATATTTAGTTTAATAACCTATTTATGTACACAAGTGTCATAGATGTTGAAAAAGTTTGTATTTATATACTGCGGTAATATACCAATGTACTCTTTAGATTATAATTCCAATAATAGTAATTTATTAAAAATCGAATAGTTAGTCTCTTCCTTAAAAAAATGGATCACTCTGTAATTTTTTATCTACCGTGAGAGAAACTTAAAAAATGTCAATAAAAAAAACGAGTATTCCTCGAGACTTCGAAAGCTGGACAAATATCACCGCGGCAATCATCATTCGTTGATGCAACTCGTCTTCCTGGTCGCGACATCGGGTCACCAGTGAAAGTAAACTCGCTTTATATTATTGTACTGTGACTTCGCCAACGATGGAAATCATATGCGAAGAAGGAAATATCTGAATATAAACGAAATAGTAGGATCTTAGCTCCGTATATTTCTTCTCATGAGAGATATCTAATCGGATAAAAATTAATATATAAATTTAGAAAAATGTATATATATATTTTTTAAATGACAAACTGTGTAATATAATATAATAATAATTAATATGGAAGAAAGAAATGGGATGTTCTGTGTAAATTTAGAACTAGTGCAGCTTCCGCTGACTTTCTCCAGTAAAAATTGCACGTAATTTCTTTTTTAAATCTCATAATATCTTCACAATAATAAGATTCACAATAATAACTGCAATAATGCAAATTAATACATGCATATTTCGTAAAAACGCACTTCTTCTCGTCGGCTGCGTTTCTGGGTCTCGTGCAATTACAATTTTGTGCAAGAGACTTGCCGATCCAAGCATGCCATTTCGTCCACTATTCTCATCGCATCCGGTAAAATGTCTAAATTGAGGACTACCGCAAATGCAGTATAAACATGTTGAAATGCTTCTTTCCACAAATATAATATATATGCTAGATATTTTTTCTTCCTAACGCATAGGCAATTGGTAATGAATGATTACAGTTTTGTGCAAGAAACACGCGTTGCAACAGCTGTACAATTGTGGATCATAACGACAATCGCTAACATTTGGGATGTCTGTCAACGCAATGAAATGTATTGTCGCAACATCGCGGCAGTTGTTGCAATTTTTAATAAACACTTTTTGTTATGAAACAGCTGAAGTATTATTTTCAAATATTATTTTAAAAATAGTTATTAAATTATGTTACGAAATTATATAAACAGCTAGAAGTATTTTCAAATAATGTTATTTCAAAAGCTGTCATTAAGTATATTAAATATCAATATAAAGTATATTAAATATCAATATAAAGAATATTCAAACAAGTAAGACAATCTCGTTTACATGCATGTATATGTTCTTTTTATGTTCAATATAATTACTAAAGTCATGGAGATACACGCTAATATGCTTAAAAGATTTAACCGGTAATAATCTGGGTACGAAGAAACGGGAACACGACTGAGCACTTTCCACTTGGGGAAATTGTGCCCAGGATGTAGAAAGGATTTCGCGATAGACCGGACGGGCGACACACAATCCGATCGTCTATTTAGAATGGCAATGAAACTCGATAAACTGCGGGAACACGCGTTATATATAACTTTGGGAGAGATAGTGCCTCGTGTATACACGTCCTGTGAAATAAATCGTGATACTAATTTCGCGTATAACAATGGGAACGCGACGAAGGAGGTTGACGTGACGCACCGTTCATTTCACGGCTTTATTAGAGAACGTGTCGTCTCTTAGCAAGTAATTATAATTTCCTGGGCATTCTCTAACGACCCCAAACTAGACAAGAAAGACTCTTTGAATCTTTTCTAGAGGATGTCTCTGAAAAGTTTCTAAAAAATATAATGAAGAAGAAATTATGAAAATTTATCAGATGGACGATTAAAATCTAATTTTATCATTTACACGAAACTCGTTAATTTATTCCCAGTTAAATATAATACTTTCCACAGTAATTAATTTTCCATTTAAATTCAGTTTAGTTCAATTTCAGAGAGAAAAGATCTGCACTGATCTACATCGTTTCTCGAACGTTGTGCTCAAAGTGCATAAAATTTCATGTCGAAGTAATTACGATACATATCTTTATATTGCTTGCTGCAACCTCTCGTTTAACGCAAAAATATTTCACTATAATATGTAATAATAATTAGATGGTCAATTAAATTGATAATTGCGATTATTAACCGTATCCATTAACCAACGAAAAATTAAATTTTTTCCATTCAGCTTTTTACACACATACAAGTGTATATATGCGAAATGCAACACATTGATCGTTGCGTGATACGTGTCATTCTTTTTTTAGACTTGCTGTATTACAGAACAATTATCCTGTGTACATAGCGATGTACAACCATGGCATGAAATCTCGCAGAAAAAGGGAAACGAGAGCTATGTTTCCACCCACTCAGGATTCACGAAGCGTGCGACATAGAAGAAATTGCCATTGTAATTTGCCGCAGCGATGACTCCATCGTAAAACGAATGGCTTTCTTTAGAAAACGCATCGGCTTCGATCTATCAATTAGCGAAACATTATAGTTATTTTATCGTCTTTAAGATGCGCTGGATAGCATTGCGAAACTATGCGACGCGATTTGTTGCAATTTTCAATCGCGACGTCAAGAGATTTATAAATCAAATGTCATTGATAAGATAGACGGAAATATGAGATAGCTTTATCTGTTTACTAATAAAATTATTATATTTTATTACATTTTTATTATATTTTAATTAATATATTTTGAATATATTTGTAATAGTTTTGTTATCTTTATTAATATTTGCTTGTTTTCTCATGCTTATGCGTCTTTCAATTTTTATACTTATTATTAAGAGAATAAAATATAATTAAAATTAATTTAAAAACTAGATCGTCTATTCACAACTTGAAATTTTTATTAATTAAAGCACTTGAATTTTCAAAATTAATAAACAGCTCCACGATTGTGTTTTAAAATTAAAATTAAAAATGTTGTCCTTCGTTAAAAGAAATGCATACATTGATTATCTAATAATACATATATAATAATATATACGTGACATGAGATTGTAAAGTTCTTACATATGGAGTAAATAGCACAGTCACTTGAATTCACTTAGCATAGAAGATATTGTGTACAAGAAGTCTTGCGTGCGAGCTAAATATATTCAAGTGTCCGTGTATTTCCTTCACAAGTTAATAATCATAATGCGCAGCGCTCTGAGATGCAAAGCGAAATTTATTCAATGAACAGAGGAGACTCTCGTCTAGATTCATTTATATCATTTATTATATCATATCACATTCATTTATATTACCGATCGACGATTCTCACGTATAAAAAAGGAAGAGTCGATCACAAGCAGAGGCAGATACGTATAAGTAACGAGTGAGTCAGAATTCTATTTTCTATCGATGACGATGGAGCGTGCACGAATGGCAGCGTATCCTGAGTATATTTAAAGAAAAAAACTGACAAACGAAATAACAATAACAGTCAATTCGACGAGAGAAAATCTGCTCAGAGAGCGTTCACCTCGCGTAACTGGCAACCCACTTTCATCCGAGTACGTTTTCCAAGTCTCGTTACTCCGAGATAAAACTCAGCAGCATCCTGACGATATCCTGAAAATATCGTCGCATGAAATTTACGAGAAAAATTATTAATACAATTTTGTCGAGAGTTGCGTAACTTTTATTTTTAACTTTTAATTTTAGGTCGTACATTTTCATAATAGTTAACGTATAATTAATGGCATTTGAAAATATAATTCTCACTTTATTGTGATGTGTAAGTATTGAACAAAGATATCTTTGTTGAAGAATTGAATGATTTATCTAACAATTTATCTAACAATTATGAGCAATTTACCGGTTTCCATGCTATTGTGCATATGTTAGATAAATGTGTACATAAAATTTCAAAACTTAGAAATTCTCAAGTAGAATTTTTCAATAGGAATTTTTTAAAAATCACGAAATGCATACAAGCTGAAAATATAAAAAAAAATTTTAAAGTCAAATGACCTTTATAAAGATATTTATAATTCAACTTCATATAATCATTTTCGTTTATTGCAAAATAGGAAACTTATAAAGTCCGGCTATAAAATCCGAGAATAATTTGCGACGAACATGGACATGCAATTATTAATTTGCACTTATGACTCACTGCAAATTAAGGGTATCGTGTTCAAGGATGATCCTTGAAACAACGTTGCTTCAAAAATATGGACAAAACATCTATTTAAAGCATTGAGGAAGTTTCTTTTTCATTGTAAAATTGTTGGTGATTAATGTCAAGGTGATTAAAGCAAACAGAGAATAATTATACTCTTTAGATACACTCTTATAGAATTCTCGATAAGCAATTTCATTCCTGATAATAAATTTTCTCAGAATTAATATCTCTCTTAGATATGAAATAAATAAATTTGCGAATAATAATTTTTATGTCACAATAATCAGTTTCAATAGTTAATAATTTTATTTATTATTTTTGCAAGTATTTATTTTCTAATAAACTTTCTTTTGCTCTTTTATCGAAAAATTATCCGGTGTTTTAGATCTTTTGATGTTCACGATCCGCAGTTCGTAATCGATCTCACCAGATTTCATCGACCCCAGGATGACCGATTTTCACCTTTGCACGACCGTACATGAGTGCTTTTACATTCTCGCGATGTACTTATACCGATCTTACTTTCTATCGGTCGCCATAAACGGACCGGAAATGACTACTATATAGTAATGAGCCATCATATACGATGACATTCATCGACATGGGAAATAATTGATCTACTGAATTTCTCTGTCGAGTAGAGAAATAACGCGTGTCCTATTTTTCGTTAATATTAATTCAAGTTGATTAAGATGAAGCAATTCCCTCAAGTGATGATCAATTATCAAGAATTGGGGACTCCGTAAATACTCCGAGTATTCTCGCGAAAACATTGATTATCTAGGCACCGCAAGACTCGTGAAAACAATCCTATTTAAGAGAGCCAGTTTCTCGCGAACGAGAGAAATTGATTAACGACAAAGGAGAAAATACATTGCACGATTGAGCGCGCCGCTTCCGCGATTGTTTAATGAGCACTCGAGTCTCGTCTAACGGAAGCTAAATGATTGACGACGGACAATGTGCTACGAGCTTTACTTTAAAAGAAGCTGATGCCAGTATACTTGATTTATATTTGTACATAATAAAATAAATAACACGTTTGAAAAGCAGAGATAAATAAAATATTCTCGAATATCTAACAAGATAATAAATTTATAATTAATTGTTTAATTGTTAATATTTATAGATAATTAATTGTTTAATTGTTAATATTTATAAATTTAGAAACACAAACAAAAAGAAATTAATCAAGTTTTAAAAAAATGAACGGAGAACTTTGTCGTCGTTAATCGAGATTGTAAAAGTGAACGATCGCGAATGATCGATTTGCAAATCCGAGTGGCTCGTTCGTCGATCTACGATCGCAATCGCATACGAGGAACGCACAAGAAGCCGAATTACGTAATTCCTTGGTTGCGGTTCTCCTTGAACGCGCTTGGCTCCTGGCACCGCTTCGCGCCAGTTTCATCGCGTTTCGTTTTCTTTGCGCTTAAACTCGCAGACGCGATCGGAACGTGTCTCTTCGAAAGTCCACATCCTATTTTTTATACGACGACTTCGTCACTTTACCACCGGAATTAATCGCCGTAGTCTACGTGTCGGCATGTTCCCGCGCGTTTCTTTCCGCGCTCGCGGCGATGAGAGATCGCGTCGCGGATTCATATATGATGGGAATAATGATGCGCGAAAAAAAATCGCGATCTTTGTGTGCGCGTCATGCGTCAATTGTCAGTCAACTCTGGACTAGGAAGAGATATAATCTCACTAGGATCTATACGCGCCGATTATAATCTCGTGACGCGTTCATGAGCGAAAGTATGGTTGTGATTTAGGGAGAATGTCAGATAGCGTACGTCTAGATAAACGGGAGATTCGAAGTAAAAGTTATATCTGAATAGCGAATATCTGAGATAAAATATCTTTCGCGTATTCGTTAATATTTGTAAACTTGAATTTTAAACACGCTATAAAATACTTCATAAATATTATCTTTTTAATAGTATTAAATCTAATGGCACATATACATACAGCTAACAATCCCAATATTGTATTTAACAAATAAACCTCAAGATTTTAGACTGGAATCTCACAAAGAGAATCGCCAAATAAGCTTAATATGTATGTATAAGTTTTTAGATGTTCCAGCTGTTGAATGTATAATATTGTTTTAGTATAATCTTTTCTGAACGATTCGCCAATTACTACTGTTGTCACGCGCGATTAAGTGATAATCGCTTTGTCTTCGGTTTAACCTTGAGTCTCGACTTAAGCAGAAACAGATCAAGCGAGAAATATAAGTTAAAGAAATTTTTTTATTGAGAATTTTATAATTTTTACTATAATAAATGCGAGTATATACTTACTATTCTCAATTAAATGTTTAAATTGACATCTTTAATATTAAGATAAATTTGCTGTTTGTGAACTATACGAAAATTACATCTTACGTGCAATTTTCGCAATTCTGTTGTCGTTAATAAACACAGCGAGATTATAGCAACGTAATCTCCGAAGTAAACGCTGTACTATTATCTTCTAAGCTTCCATCATTTTCCTACTTTAGTGAGATACAAATTGAGTAGCATACGTGAACGTTGTGGGAGTTTATTATATGTCAATTATATGTCTCTTGTAAAATTTCGGACTCTTAACCGACACAGAAAGAGAAAGACAGAGACATTTTCCAATTTCCTGGTTTCAAGAGCATTTTCAAGCTATTGCATTCTTATTTTACGTAAGACGTTCGTTCTCAATTTCTCCGAGACGAGCAAGCCAACGTGGCATCGTCGTCGCGTGCAGATACAGTAAAAGTCAAACGATAATAATGCAATGCATTTCCCGTCGAAACCTTATTATTTCTGCCAATTTAATGAACATGCATAACGTTATCCGAGCGATTGAAAATTACTTCGTGACTTTCTCGAATTTCGGCGCATGGCAACGTAGAAATATTTTTATTATCTGTCCTGTGTAATCCGCCCCTTCCACGCAATAAATAGTTCTCATGCCAATTTAAGTGCACATCTACAAAGCACCAAGCCTCTTTCTTTCTCTCTTTCTCTTTCTTTCTCCCTCATGCTCTCTTGACGAGATGCATAAAAGAATACACTTGTAAATCGCTTTACGCTTTCTAAATTTGCGATATTTTATGCTTAATTCCCTCATTAGCATCTGACTGTTCATAATTTCCAATAGACATATCGGCGAGGCGTGTGCAACTTTCTTTGTTGGACGAGCCGATTGCTAAATGTGTGAAATTTGGCAAGTGTTTGTATCTGTATAAATGCGATAAAGAGTAATAAATAAATAAAAGAGTAATAATCAAATAAAAACATTCGGGAAAAAATGCAATATCAACAAAAAACAATTATTTGGTAATCTTCAAGAAACATATTTTACCATTACGCAATAGCTGAAAAAAAAAAAACAAAAAAATTTATGTTGCATTTAAAAAGAGAATTTTAACTTTTGTTAAATTGTTTTATATTTACACATACAAAAGTTGTCATTTGTAGATATATATGTTGATATCAATATTAAAATAAACGTAAGTATTAAAATTAAATATTAAATATTAATTAATCAGTATATTATAAATTGAAAATATTAAAATAGATGTACAATGGACACTAAACGCAATATTAATAAAATATTATATATAGTACATGCAAGTCGCAATCGATAATCACTTCACATAATTGTTGTTCACAAGTCACGCACGCGATCGGATAATTTTATAATTGTGTACTTCCTGAAGAAATCCTACACTACAATTATTCGTTACACTTACTTACTTTGTTTGATATAATATAAATTAACAATTTATTTTTATTAATCTCACACACATTTTTTTGATAGATAAAATTTCTCTACTCTTACTGTAATAATCGATTCGTAGATTGGCCCTAATTGTCGATTCTAAATAAGCTGTAAATCATATTTTGTGGTTGGAATGGCTGAGAAGCTTCGATAAATTTAGGCAGATATCAGTAATCATTATACTAGTAATATTAGCAAATACCACAAAAATGGGCGTAACCACGATAGATCAGACATGATTCTTTCTTTCGAACGCCATGAAAAGCCATTCACTTTATCTATTCTGTTGATATAATAACGGTAAATGTCTTTCAAACTTTAACATAATTATTAGCAAAAGCTATTAATCGACATTTACTCTTAGCAAGACAATTGGATTCAAAGCTTAAAAGTCAAGACATCCAATGCTCTAAACATTTCTATGAAATGCAATTTCTTTTCTAGGTAAAAGAATGAGGACAACTATTACTCTAAACTAGATTGTACTTCAATTTTTATTTAAAATAAATGTTTATAACGCTTAGATTATGAATATGCGAAAAGTTTCCAGATGGACTGAGTTACTGTATTAGAGAAAATGGCCGGTAAAATAAGTATTTCCCTTATAAAGGTAAAAATTAAAATTTTTATAAGGATAAAAAAATTAAACTTTGTCCAAGAATTAAGTCCAATCTCCAGAAAAAATTTGAAGCAACACTTGTCCGTATTCTTCTCAGAAAATATAAATCCCAATATTAAATATTCAAATAAATTTAGAAGGAAAGATAGAATCTGTGAATGAACATCTGTTCATTATGTACAGATTCGTTAGATCCGCGAAATGCAAATCCTACGTCACGTTTTATTAGCTCACGTTTATCGCTTCAATTCTTCAAATCTTTGAACGCATATTCTGCGTTGTGACTTACGAAAGCAAATTTGCGTTTTTTTTTTTAAACCAGAGAACGCGAGAACACGGGTGTTAATTGCATTAACGGCATCGCACTAACGTTTCTCACTTTCGATCGTAAAGAACGCGCTGGGCGATTCTTCCGTCAATCGATTCTTTTTACGATCCGTCGAACATGATCGTCGCGAGATGAAAATTTAGAGAAATCTTTGTGGAAATCATCACCGTGAATGTAACGAACTGAAAGCTACGGCATCGGCTGCGTTTTTGCGTTGAATTTAATAATTAAACGAGAAATCCGTCGGTATGGACCGAATCACTTTCTTTGCTACGAAAAATTAATAGGACCATCGACGCGATTTCTCCATAACGACTACAAGCAGATCGAGAATCGTCGAAATCGCTCATCTCTGGACGATAATCATGTGTTTGCAGCTATATTTTCGGAAGGAATGTCGATAACGGCGGTCAGAAAATTACGGTGAATCCTGTTTTACTCTATTCTTTCTATATAATTACATTCGTTTGACACACTTACCTTGAGATCTGTGCAATTGAATCGCTGTGATCGCCATGAGTTAAATTCACAATCTACCGATAACAAGATCAATGCTAATTTTCGTTATTATTACGAGAAATCTCGAACATTGTGGGAAGAAGCATTTGATATGTGGAATTACATTTATCTTTTTATATCGAATATGTATGTTTTGAATATTCTTTTCTCATATGTAATAACATTATGAAATGATAAATATATTTATATCTCATTTTTATATCTTGTAAATAAATCAAATATTTTATATAATATAATTTAATTGAATCTCGTTATGTTATCATATTCTTTGGTATTCTTACCTGCACTAAAGCTTCCGGCTGCAGATGCTTGAGGAATTCACCTTGCGGCTGATACATGCCGGAAGTCTGCTGTTGCTGCTGCAGCTTCAGTTCCGCTTGCATCGCCGCAATCGATTCCGGCGTGCAGGAGGCTCTAGCCTGAACCCAGGATGCCGCCAGGATGAAGCTTCCAAGCACCACAGACATCGTGATTAGAGTAACAGCGGCGATCCTGGCGATCTGAACTGCCGTGCTCTTCATTGGCGGTCTCATGTACGCCTGTAAAAAATATTAATTTATTCGTCGGAAACATTTTAAAAGGGTTTAATATACTTTTTTTATTAGAGAATCATGGACAAATAAATAGCGATAAATTCACTATTTTTAACATTAACGTTTTAAGCGACAACCGCAAAGAGAACGTCAAAGGAGAGTGCGAAACGACAAAAGGCCTCGACTCAGTTGGTTAACCAGCGTGAAGTCCCATGTATTATTGTATGCGTGCGCATTGAGAAGAATACCAGCATCGCTCTGTGACAAAAGTGCAATAGAAACGTATGTGTTCGTATGTGCAGTTTCGCGAATGTGAACACGAACAAATCGCACTTTATCGCGGTTTCCCGCGCCTAGTTGCAACGATAGAGGAGGGAGAAAGGTGATTATGTAAAATCTTGTATATGTGTTTATTCATTTTCAGTCGATTCAATAGATATCGCGAAAATGCAAATTACGATTTTCCTTAACGAGGAATTTTCTCAAGTTATGTTAAAGCTAAAGTTATTTTATATCGGAAATGCATTGTAAATATATATTCTCTTCAATTTACATACTGGATTTTAAAAATATTATTTGTATATTTTCATTAACTTCTACCGAGATTCATCTGTTAATTTCTATATCCATCTTATCTGTTAAAATATATAATAAATTAAATATTTCTACAATAAATACGCACATATATATATAATTAATAACGTCCATGACATCGAATGACAAACTCGTGCCTCGCGATAGAGTGGATTAATGACAGCTGAAAAAACTACTACGTCGTCATTTAACTCCTTCGAGAAAAGTCTGATAAAATACATCTGACGCGTGATAACTGTACCTTGACATTATTATAGCGCGGCGCGAACCCGTTTTGACGCTTGACGCCTTTGTAGATCATGTTCGCCACTATATTACGCGAAATTCGTCGATTGAATGACCTGTATGATCTTTATATTATTATAATTATACTATATTATATATTCGGAGATGTCAATCGAGATGAACGTCGGATCTTCTACATTGATTTCGAAATAAAAAGTACATTTTTAATGGTCCATCCGCTTCATACAAGATGGATCAAATATTTTTACAAATATTTTTAGCACATTATATCGGAATAATTTTCGGATACTCTTCAGTATGAAAATTTCCCTGCGGAAGATGTGTGTGAGACTTGCACCACAGACTGTACTTGTACATACAATTCGTAATGACCTCGATGCGGATGGACGACTCGGGTGAGAGGCTTCCAAGAGATAGTAGGCCATCCGAGACTGGCTTTATGCCGCGCTATCTATCTGACAAAAGTAAACAGGTACTGTTGCCAGGCATTTAAGGCGAAAAAAATTATTATTTATTCTTTGGAGACGAATCTCTCGGTTTGTCCTCCACTCGTGAGTCATTGACATCCGCTGAGTTCATGGAAAGCGTTCCGGAACAATGGTTAATCGTCGCGAACTGGTTCCGATGATAGAAACGCGATAGAGAAAATAATCGTGATTTTATAAATTTAATCGAAATCAGTCGTAAGCGATAATCCATATAAATTATATCGTGTGATGAATCAAATTTTTTATATTTAATTAATAGAAAATCTGATTTCGATGCTCTAATAAATCTTGAAACATGCCTTCGAAGATGACAATCCATCTCAATCAATCTCAAAGACTGTAATTCCTATGTCATGTGATCGACGTAGTATAGTTTTGTGAGACATCGATAACGTTTTGCACTTTCTCTCTAATATACCAGTGTACGATGCAGGCTGCACGCTTAAAATTAACGAATGAAAGTAAGTTTTCAAATCATTATTAATCTCTTTAAATTATTGCATATGTACTCATAAACGTGCTTTTTTGCTTCGCATTGGATGAGTATGGTATATATTTTGCATGAAAAATACGAGTATAAAAAAATTATACATTACATTGTATTATTTTTTCTCTGACATACATTTCTAAACTTTCATATATTATTTAAATATTATACATATGTATTTTAATACCCGCTTTTCTTCAGATTATTCTTTTTCACTTCTTTTAATGTTTTTATTTTTAAGAAAATATATAATCAATCATTTGTAAAAAATTTTCTATAATTTTGTAATTTAATAGAAAATTTTTATTCTGTTGCTTAATTTGAGAAATATAATCGGATTATTAAAACATGTGAGTAAACGATAAACTTTCATTGAAACAATTAAAAATCGCGAAAAAAATCCGCTTCGTATATTTCTCCTGTATACTTCTTCGAAAACTTCGTTCAAGTTCGTCTTATGTAAGTGCAGACTGCGTACCACCATTATACATATATACATATATACGCGCGAATAAATAAATGTCAATAATGTGTAAGAAAGAGAGAGAGAAACGAAAATGCGGAGGTGTTCAGGGACGAATATTTTTTTGTTCAAGCACTTTATTTACAAGCCAGATTGAGAAACGCGAGGAAAAACATTGTAAAATATTATATAATATGTGTACAGTTAGAGGTATATTATATTGTGTTCATCCATAAGTCTTTAAAAGTTAAGATGTAAAATTCTCTCTTAAGTACGCCGTACAATTAAAAAGAATTTCTTACGCAATCAAGACTTGTATCTTGGGACATAATATATTATTTAATAGAAAAACATAATTTATTGTCACAGGCCGGTGATACGCGTGGCAGAACAATCATTGTTGCTGACAGCATAAGCGGAAATGACCTTCTGGTTTATGGAGATGAGGGGCTTGAACCCATAAAAAAATAAGATAATATGATTTCTTTATAGTGCATATTACTAATGAGAATTAGTACGCTTACGTCGGCGTCGATATTATTCCAGGTTCGTTTCGCGCGTTGAAATCTCCGGAAAGTTCGACGCGCAAGTTAAACCTCAGTGAATGAATGGCTGATTACTCAATAGTGAAACGAAATGCGAAACATGCTATTTAGCTTCGTTACAAGAATCTTGCGCTTGATGCAAAACAACTAAAAAACTATTCAAGAAGATATTTATTCACGCGAAAACGTTATATAAGAGAAGCATTTTATATAAATGGTTTTGCTTCCTCTTTAATATTTATTAGATATGTATTTCTGATTTTATTTTCTTAATATCTATTTAAATCAGATACGTTCACAATTTTTTACAAGAATTCTAATTAATTCATATTAATAGTATTATTAAATTGTTTCTTTTTTAATAATCAAAATTTAAAACGACTTTGTTAATGATTTTTTTATGATTTCGCAAAATTTGCTGAGTATCGTATATTTGTATATATTTGGAGAAAGACAAAAAGAGAGAATATGGAATGGCCAACAAATTCGGCATTCAAGGCCTTTGCGAGTTCATAAACAGCGATGTCATTCCGACGATAAAACGAGTTTCGAAAGCTTTGTTTCACTTCTCATATATTCTCCTCCTTGAGGTTTAATTTTCCTCTTGTATTCAAGCCATGTTTCATACATAAACTGTACTTTTTCTTAAAACGAATATGTGATTTTTTGGAAAAAAATACTCTTTATCAAATTAAAAATTGACAGAAAGCAAATTCTCTTATATTCTTTACTCCTATCGCTTATTATTCTGTATTAATTTTTTATGGTTTAACAGTAAATATTTTATTATCGTAATAATTTGGCTATTAGCAAAAATTCGTGATATAATTACATAATTAAAATTCGTGATAATTACATAATTATTTGAAGTGATAATAAAAAGTATTCATATTAAGAAAATATTTTTAAATGAAAATATTTTTTTTGCCTAGAGTAAGAAAAATTCAAGATTTTATGTAAAATATCTCAAAACATATATTATTGAAATCATTAAACTCTTTTATTATCTGGAGTAAATCTGATCATTGAAATTGTAATTTTCCACTTTTTATACTGTACATATATATTCGTTCAAATAGGATGACAAATAGAAAGTTAAATATTCTCAGGAAGATAATATACAATTACAATTTATTTGCTGTGTTTTTTTCTCTCGTTAGTCAATTAAGTTAATTCTTAACGATATTCGCGTTTTTTTCTCCATGGCGGAAATGTACGCGTCTCTTGGAATGTAATACATATTTACGTTTTTTTTTGTAAAATTAAGAATCATACATTCTTTTACTTGTTATAATTACTGTAATTAAATTCTCCTTATTTTCCAGTCTAACTCTTGTTATCTAGTTCAAGTAACATTTTTGTTTAATAATTGCATTCCTCTTTTAATTTTTTTTTAAAAAGAATGTATGCATTTTTCAATTGTACGTATAAAAATACATTTTACAGAAATGTGAAATAATGAAGAAATAAAGTAAAATTTTCTCTTCTTTCGGCGAATAAAAAAAAATATTTATTTTGAACGCGTAGATTTCAATTGTTAATGAAATGTATTTTAGATTACTTTTCTTTATATCGTTATCTTTAATTATTATCCACTATTTTCAATCTTAGTTTGAAAGACGATCGAACAAACAATAATAATGAACAATCACGCAAATGTACAATCACTGTTGGAGTGCGATTACGAGTTCCGTGCAATTATGTTACAAAACAACTTTCGCGGAAGTGATGTACAATTTATTTGTGCGTTTTTTTTTTTGTGAATACAATTTTGTAATTGAAGAGCTTATGATTTCGATAGATTAATTTAAAATCGTTAAATTAATATTTTTCAATTACGTGTGAATTAGATTTGCATCAAAACTTGCGACTTTATTATAAATTCCAGCATCCAAATGATCGAGAAATAAATAAAAGACAAAAAAATGATAACATTGTAAGGAAAATATTCAATAATATCTATCGATGTTACCTTGAAGATTACTTTTTTAAATAAGTAATTGAAGATTACTTTTTTAAATAAGTAATTTTTTTAAATAATGGTAATTTCTAAGATTGCACGCCATTTGTTATGCTTCATGCTATATTATGTATAAGCTGTGTTCTTTATATCGTTAATGCATTTTCAAGGAAAATCACGTAACTCGCTGAATATCCTTTTTCTCTATATCTATTTTTGATGTCCTTCGGAGATCCTTCGATACACCTCTATATGTGTTTTATATCTCGATTGATCGAGTCTCGCACGTTATCTTTGCAGAAACACAAATGAGAATGGATTCTCTACAATAACAATTGTTTGATCCTACTATCCGATATTGAATTTTGATTTGCAAATAATTAAATTTCACTCGACGATCCAAAGCGCGAATCGAAAGACGCAAGTGCGTTACAATATACGATATTGCAACGTCAGCTGTATCAATCTGTGAGATGCTATATTTATATTGCTAATTGTTTACATTCAGCTCATCGATTTAAATCAAGCTAAACAAATTTATGCGTATCACGCGTGCTCCTTTATGACTCATTGCTTCGAGTTTAATGATGGAAAACAACAGTAATCGTGACAATAGCGAAAGTTATAAATATTCATTCTCGAAATGAAATATTCATATTTGTATTTTCTGATAATATAGATTTACATAAAAGGTGTTCATGAAAAAAAAATATACTTTTAAGAATACATATTATCGACTTGTTTCGATCTTTATATTTCCTCCCCGTTAAATTTCTAAAATTATTTTAGATGTCCTGAAATCGTTCCAAGAAAATTAATAATAACAATCGAGGATGTGGATCGTAAACGAGAAATCTATTGATTGCCATTATTATCGATAACGACAAAGAGTAATTATGTAAAGGCAAGTAGAGTCGCGTGGTTCATCCGATCCGACAAACAAAGGGTATATCATGAGAAATCCTGCAATTTCTTCGTTGTAATTCTCTTTCTTATTATAGTGGCAATATTCAATTATACCATATAGTGCCAATTTTCGAACTACAATTACCTCCACACTACATTCGCTATTACATGCTATTTTTCTATTCAGGGGAACAACCGCACGTGTACAAAATTATTCGCCGTTTTAGTCGTCGTAATTATGACTTGATGAACGATTTCATGTTCATCAAGGCCAACATCATGTTTTGCTCCATGATATATTTCGTATCTATACATAGCAAGTCACATTAGTAAGCTATCTTTTTAATTGCAGTTATATTTAAGAAAAATTCTAGTAGATAAAAAAAAGATAAATGTCGCCTATTATTACTGTATTTAAATATGCTGGAAAATTGTAGTTTTGATGTATGATGAATATATATGAGTAATATGTATGTAAATGATTATCTTTTTATAATCGAATATTTTTTAATTTTAAATGAAACAATAATTGCGATTTTAAATTTTTTTACGTACAAATTTTTTTAGCTACATTTTCATATTTTTGTTTTTTTTTAAGTATTAATGCTAGCAATAATATTTGCACAGGTGTAAAAATGTGGTAATTCTTGTCGTCATTCGCATAGCTTCAGCTTCATGAATTTTTATACATTATTTGAAAGTCCATTTATCAATATAAAGTTCATAAAAAATGTAGAAGATAACATATGGTTTTGATTCAAAAATGAATCTTTAAGTTCTCATTGATTTAAGATCTTTCTTAGATTTCTCTAGTTTGAGAATTGTAAAATAAAATTCTTTAGAGATGTTGAAAATTATGACAAATAATGATCTCTCTCGTTTTGTTCGATAAAAAAATTTCAAGCTGGCCGAAGAATAAACAGATAAGAAATGAATTTCTAATCCGTAGGCGAAAGCTTACCGGTGGCGGTTCGGCGGTGGAATAGACCTCGCTAGGCGCATAGTGGCTATGAGTCTGCGGCATCTTCTCCGAGACGACGGCGACGGTCGCCAGGGAGTCCGGTTGTTCCTTCTCCATTGTATTTTCGCCTCCTCGATTCGACTTAATCCACGTAGCACAAAACGACCGGTCGAACGACCCGGAACGTCAATCTCTCTCTCTTTCTCTCTTTTTTCTTCTTCCTGAACCGATCGACTGTCTCTCTTTCTCTGTCTCGATTATTTTAAAACTCTCTACGCTCCGATCTGTCACCCGGTGTCGATGGCTCGACGGGTCGACGAGCAGTGAGCGTCGAGGAAGCGCTGACACCGCTAGCTTAGAGATGCCCCCACCTCTAAACTGACGTGCACTACCTTCGGCCACCACGTTACCTTCTGGTACCAAGGTGTACCTCCTCCGCGCCGGTCGTCGGTGGTAGTGTTCTTGTTGCTGGACTTTCTAAACACCATGTGTGTGCGAGCACACGAGCATGAGTGAACGTGAACGGTTCGTTGCTATACACTTGCGGCACGCTATGCTCCTGTGGATAGCAACACTGCGATTGACGATGGTTTTGCAACATTTTTTTGCCTCGTTCCTTTTTAATTTATAATAAATAAAATCACGCGATCGATAATTGAACGTATATATGTTTCAATTTCTTATCTCTACGTTTATTTACATTTTTATTCGCTATTTATCATAATCGGAGCGCGTTATGATATGAATTTTTTACAAATGATTAATTGATACGATTTTTTAATGACAACGATCGCGTGCGGAATAGAAATGACGTTATCGACTCCATTGCAATTCGCAGGAAGTGACAGTCGGAGAGGGCAAAGAAGTTTATATTACAACGGTAATATATGATACATGATCGTGTGTCTATGTGTCTGAGCAGAGAGTTGGTGGGAGTCTAACATCGCTCTCGAAAGAAGAAACATCGAGAAAGCACCCTCGTTCATAATAATGTATAATTGTTGTACGAGCAACATTCTTACAGAAGATACGAAATAACAAATATTCATGTTTTTTTTAAAGGATATTGTAGAAAAATAATACTCTCAATATAGAATAGTTTCGATAAATGAAATTATATAAAACTTGTTCAACAAGATATCTTAACAAGATCGAATTATAATATAGATGTTTAACTAGATACATATTTAACTAAAAAATAAAAGAATTTTGTGTCTTAAAAATACATAACAAGAGCTACATTTTCTTAAATTTGTTGAATGAATTCTAATCACAAATAGATATTAAACATCTAGAATAAATATCTAGAATAGATATTAAATATCTAGATATCTAAAATATATATATTTAAGTCCATATATATAAAAGTCCAATTAACATTAAGTATTAAAAAGTCGTGACAAAGTCTCTTTAAGGTCGCGGTAATCTTCGTGAGATTGTCGCAGAATGAGTTTCATACTCTCTTTGATTGCACAAACAAATCGATTGCGTTCCCGTGGATAAATCTTCCTAGTAAACGAGCATTCATTATTGAAGAAAAGAGAGAAGCGCGCGCGAGACATTTGTAAGTAGATTGGTAAATACTCATACGAGCTGTGTGTGACGAACGGATCGCGGAGAAAGTAGGAAATGTACCTCTCCCCCTCGTGTAGACATGAGGCCGCAGATAGTAAATCGTCGCTTGTTCGTCGCATATGGTAACGCGCGAAAAAAAGCACGTGTTGCTGCGTGTTATGTAGATAGATATACAACAGATATATATTCATCCGAAAGGTGTGGCTGCGGTGCGATTGAAAGACCGGAGGGAGATTCCAGCACGATATTGTAACGAATTTAAATACGCACTGATTGTGCGTGGAACGGTTTGTCTCTATGGATTTTTTTTCGATTCGATTATTCCTCTCAAAATCCACTCGGCTAATTATTCTTAACGGGGACGATCGTGTAATTAGACGCATGGAAAAGTGACGAATTTAATTACAATCTTGCCGCTCGTATCCCGCCAATTACGTACACGCAACAATTATCATTTATCAGTGGTATAAGATACTTTAGGCGAATTAACATTTTGCACGCGAATTTAAAAATGATGTTGCACACACTTTTTATTCCCAGAAAGAAAATTTGCGATGCAAGTACGGTTGGTTCGATAAACGTCTTGCATCTCTCGGATATACAAGCTTTCACTTAATATTTTCAAACAAAAACATTATTTCTACAACTAGATCGTTGCCGTGCTACATCACTTTGAAATTATAAAATAATATTTTACAGTGGATTATTTTCCAGAGTTATTTTTACAACATTTTATATATTTGATATATACAATAAAATCTTAATAATTTTTTGAGAATGCGAAAAAGTTACCTATTTCTTAAATAACTTAAATATAGATTCGTTATATCGGATACATGATTTTTTTCGCTAACTAAACAGTAATAAGCATAATGTATCAATGGCATTTCATGGTCATTTATAACGACTTAAAATGAATGCCTTCTCGGACGCAATCTCTTATATTCGTTGTCGCTATCGTGGAGAAAATAGGCGTTCCCACGCAACGGTCGTCTTTCTTGGTGATAAAAAGCAAGATAAGTCGCTAGTAGACGCAACACGAGGGAGAGAAGAGCCGCAGAAAAATATGTTTTCTCTATGCGCGGGTGGGAAATCGCGTATGTTAGTGCATAAACCACATAATCATACCCGCTTAGGATCTTTTGATCTTCTTCGTATAATGTATCACGAATAGATGGTCGCGCGTCAACCATTCGCGAAGACTCGCTTTCTCCGACAGTAATGTAAACACCATGCCATTTTAGTGCGCTCTGCGCCCTGCACGTGTCTTGCATCAAAATTTGTGTAATAAGTCTTTCGATATATATTTTTCATGTTGAAAATTTCGATTGTTAAAATTGCAAGTTGTAGTTGTTCAACAAAATAACTGTAATCGATGCTTTGCGATTTTTTGCGAAAATTGAGAATGCATATTTTGTTATCTTGTAAATGCGATAAGAATTTTGTATAAATTTTTACATAAATAAAATTAAAGAATGCAGAAAATACTCTAAACTTGCATAAATTGATAAAAAATGTATTTTTGTTTGAATTGAAATAGCAAATTCAAATTGATATTTTTTATTCATTATTTTTAAATAAAGATGATAAATATAATCACGAAAAATATATATTTATTAAAAATATACTTTTATTATTTTGAACAAAAATTACTAGACTGAAGAATGACTAAAATAAAGACTGTATTTTATAACTACACTCCTGAGTAGAGAAAACTGTTGCTATATATCTCTTACAACGCAATATTATGATCGATCTACATAAACACTGTAATGATTACTCTTGATATTCTTTATGAATTTTTACTGCTCATTGACTACGATCATAAAATGCAATATTATATTGTGAAAAACTTGTTTTCCTATAAAAGAGATATCAAAAAATTGTATAGCACAGCACAGGAAACTGCAAAATTATATAGTTAAAAAAAATTATATTATTCATTAACATGCATTCTCAATTTCATAAATCATCGCTTTGTTATAACCACACAATGCAATTTTTTCTCCTGTTGGATGCCAATATGCATCCACGATTATACGTGTCATATTTTTAGACATTGGCATGGATTTTATACCCTTTTGGGTCCATTCATATACACGTGTACATTCAGAGAACACAAGCAATTGTGGATGCACAGGATTCCATTTGATAGCTAAAGATAAAAAAAAGCATCAAAATTATACATCGTCTTTAAAATCAACTTGATTTTAACTTTTACATACCTGTAATGGGGTTTTCGAGTAATAAGTAATCAAGATAATCTGTACAAATATTCCATATCCATAATGTAGTAGGATAAAGCTCATGCTTCAGGGCCAGGTATTGTCCGCACGTACTAAATTCAAATAATTTTATTTTTGCTATCGAGAAATTTTCATTATCATCTTTTTTTCCAATTTCTATAAATATTGGCCTTTCGTGTATTTCACGTACTGAAATTAAATACAATAAAATCAGATTTTCTTGAAATATTTTTTGTAATATCATATATTTTATTTAATAGATATTCGTTAATATCTTTCACTTACCAACATATTCCTCGTATGAAGCAAAACGTTTATTAGAAGTTTTTTCCAAATCAGCACATTCCTTGTACACTTTTGTTAAGTAATTACATTCCCTGATGACAGGATCCAAATATAATTGCGACAATGGTTTCCATGTGATATAATTAAGAAGAATGATCTATGTATACAGATTTTAATTAGTTTTAAATATTAATGTAATAAAAACGAGCTAATAAGATATAAAGTGAGAAATTACCAATTCGTTCAGTCCAATTACAGCTAATAATTGTCCACTGGGAATCCATTCAACACTTTCGATTCCTTTAAGTTCCTTGTACATTTCTAATGGGGTAAACGCAACCACGGGTTTCTCCAACACGGTGGAATAAATGAGCAGCTTCGGTTCGGCAGGAGAGGAACACCATATGCATAACAATTCATTGTTCGGTGACCAGCGGATCCCGTCGATGCTATGTAAACGCTCACAGATGAGTTTCTGGAACAATTTAACAATTTGATTATTACGCGCCAAATGAGTATACAATCTAGGGAATTTCTATGGTCATCAAAATAGAACTTGCGCTGTCATGGCGATATGAATTGACGAGTGTCATAACAATTTGAAGCAGTGAATATCCAGTGAATATCATTAAACTTCTCACGAAAAAGGAGTAAAAAAAATACACATATATATAATTAATTAAATATAAATATATATGAATTTTTTAAATATAAATTAAAATAATTAAATAAATAAATAAAATTAATAAATTAATAATTAAATAAATAAAATTAATAAACTAATAATTAAATAAATAAGATTAAATAACTAAAATTAAATTAAATTAAATTATTTAAATATAAATATATATTAATGAAATACAAATATATATAATTAAATATAAATATGTATGTGTATATTTTATTTAATATTTTTTATCTTTTTCGCGAGGAATCTAGTATTTTTTATTACAGTGAAATACATATGTGACTGAAGCGTCTGCTGACGTTTAGGTTATTACGCATGCGCGAGTTTGTCCCTCCGACTCACAGCTGATCCGAGCACGTGTGCTCGCGACAATTTTGAACAATGACGACGCGTTACATCTCCTGTTCGTGCAACCGCGTGCCACATTGCGTCGATTGGGGCAGCAACGGCCTCATCTGCTTCGGAACATGCAACGCGATCGCGATATACAAGCCATGCACGCACATCGGTCGCGTTACACACACGTTGCATCGGCATCGCGACCGCGTCAACACAGTACACTGGATAAGATCGGGAGATGGTGCGCCGGAGAAGGAATTCCTGTCCGGTTCCGTGGACGGAACCGTGATCATCTGGAGCGAGGATCGTGAAGATGGCTTTCGAGTTACCTCGGTGTTGGACGTGGGAAATGTCGTTACCTTCGCCGACTCCCTCCAATTATCCGATGTTTCCACTGCTTTCCCAAGATTGTTGATATGCACAGGTTCAATCAACGGCGAGTTAAAATTGTGGTCGAGGAATGAAAACGCGGACGTCGAAGTTATTCAGACCATTTCCTATGGAAGGAAATTACCGATACACTGTCGTCTGATGTACTTGCCAAATACTAAATGTGCTCTCTTAGCTGTAGCATTGGAGAATGCTTCCGTCTTATTGTATACCAAAGATTCTGAGGTATCAGAATCAAATTTTATAAGAGTCCAGAGTCTACTCGGACACCAAGATTGGGTAAGATGTATTGATTTTCATCACGATGACAATGGGAATCTTTTCCTTGCAACGGGGTCGCAAGATAACATGATACGATTATGGAAAATTACTAAAGCTGTCATGGAATCATCGAGTGATGAGCTTGAACAAAAAAGGGAAACCTTTATGATAAACGATAGAGAATATAATATTACTCTGGAGTCTGTGCTTTCTGGTCATGAAGGTTGGGTTTACGGAGTGCACTGGCAGCCTATAAAAGCAAACAATCACCAAGCAATGAGATTACTATCCTCCTCTCTAGACAAGTCTATGATCATATGGGAACTGGATGATTCCAATGGAATTTGGACAGAGAAAGTACGTGTTGGCGAAGTCGGTGGCAATTCTCTAGGCTTCTATGGCTGCAAATTTGGTCCAGATGGATTACATATATTGGGACATGGTTATCAGGGTTCTTTTCACATCTGGAAATATTCTCAAGAAATTGCAAATTGGATTCCACGATCTACACCCAGTGGTCATTTTTCTGAAGTAGTTGACTTGTGCTGGGAACCAAGAGGAAGGTTTGTATCAATTAATTGGATCTATATTATATAATATTTTAAGAATTAAATTCTGACTGATTTTGTAGGAAAATTTAATTGCAATGTATATACATATATATATTTTTATGAATTATTATATTTCAATCAAAAAATTTTTGGTCAATTTAATAAAAAATTGACAATGAAAGGAATTATTTAAATTTATTTATTTATTACTTTACAGATTTCTCATCACAGCCAGCACAGATCAAACTACGAAAGTTCATGCGCCATGGAAAGACGGGCTTAAAGAATTATGGCATGAAATCGCGCGTCCTCAGATACATGGATACGACATGTCGTGTTTAGTTATGTTAGCACCATATATGTATGCTTCTGGAGCAGAGGAAAAAGTGGTACGTATTTTCGCAGCTACAACAGCGTTTAAAAATCGTCTAAGACCATTAGCAAATGTCGAAGACTTCAAATCTACAGTGGCCCATGGTGCTACTGTACCTTCTCTTGGATTAACGAATAAAGCAACGTTTGATGAAAAAAATAATCAGTGTGAAAACGAAGGAAATCCAATGACGAAGGATACATATGAACCGCCCACAGAAGAGGAATTAGTGCAAAATACACTCTGGCCGGAATTACAAAAGCTTTATGGACATGGTTACGAAATATTCTGCATGGCAGCGAGACACGATGGACAATTGCTAGCTACAGCATGCAAATCAGCTAATATAGAACACTCTGCAATTATATTGTGGAGCACCGACACATGGTCGCAAGTTCAGAAATTGGTTTTTCATCAACTGACAGTGACACAAATGGAGTTCTCTCCGAATGATAGATATTTGCTATCTGTCTCCAGGGATAGAAGATGGTCGCTATTCAAGAACGAAGGCGAAAGTTACGCATTAATCGCAGTTAGTTCGAAGAAAGACGGTCTGCATTCGCGAATAATTTGGTGTTGTGCTTGGACGAATGATTCGAGTTATTTCGCGACTGGTTCCAGAGATGGAAAAATTGGTATATGGTTTGTAAAAATGATGGAGGACAACACTAAAGATATTAAGCCAGTAACGACTGTAGACACACAAAACCAATCAGTTACAGCGCTATGCTTTGCGCCAAGCTGTCTAGATAGATCTTATATTTTGGCTGTTGGATATGAAACAGGATGCATAAAAATTCTAAAAATCAAAGAGGATCTGTTGAGTGTATCGACAATGTTGGCATATGATACCTCCCAAGCTCATCACTTAACAGTAAAAAGACTTATGTTTCGACCTAGCAATGAACATTCATGCGATACATTGCAATTAGCAAGTTGTAGCTCTGATCATTCAGTCAAGATACATGATATAAATTTATCATCGTTAATGCTAAATATATGAATTTTATAACATCCAAATAAATTCTTAACTTCAATATTGTATTATACTTGTGTAAAATTATACACAATCTAATGTAACAACATGTATACAACATGTATATAAATATCTAAGATATTCTAAAATTAAATAATAAAGTTCTATATAATTTTTTACTTACTCGGCTTAGTTTCCAATTATCAGTTCTATAAATCTCCACATTATCCTGGCCTTCCTCTGTAACTATCACAGCCAGTTTCTTACCATCTGGATTAAAATGTAATTTATTGAAAGCGGAGGTTTTCAAATTTTGTATGTGTGATACAGTTAGGTTCTCCAAATTCCAGATAGATATTTGAATCTATAAATACACAATACTTTTTAATTTTATAGTAGGATACAAAATTAAATTTTTTTTAGAATAAAGCGAAAATGTAAATATTGAAAACTATGCTACACTTACATTGAAATCTGCTATTGTAACAATGCATTTACTATCCGGAGACCAAGCAACACTCTGCAAACCTGCACTGCCTTCGGTGAGTTTACATTTCCATTGAGGATAATGCACCGAGTATACTTGTACGACAGCCCTCTTTATATTTGCACATAAAATATATTCGCTATTTGGAGACCATTCCATATGCTGTAAGAAAGTGATAAAACTACAAGTATTATTATATACAATAATGTTTAAGGTTTCATACGATCATTCTTCACGATTGCCGGTTTAAAACTAACCTGTATCACATCCGTGAATACAAACGATTGACAAGTTTCGAGAGTCTTTGCGTCCTTTATGAGCAGATTCGTTTGAAACGCAATTGCTAAATATGCACCATTACCGGAAAAATGGCATAAACGATTGTTTATGCGAAAAGTCTTGTCTTCCTCGACGTTGGCGGTCATGACGGAAGATTTGAAATCCTGCGGTTTTCTCGATCCCAGTCTCGCCAATCATGACATCTTGAAATCTCCAATCGATAAACTCCTCTTAAATGTCTGATAGAAAATAAATAAACAGGAGCACAAGCTAATACACTTTTCTAAGGTTTCACGTTTTAAAATATTCTCTCCGAGGAAACTTTACAGTAAACTTTCTTTCACTAATTACGCAGAAGCTGGCAAGTGTCCGCGAAAGACGAAACAGCTGCGCCATATTGTGACGTCAGACGTCAAATGCGCACATCGCGCATCCGCGCCATCTTGTGACGTCATTGACGTCACAAGATGGCGCGGAGTAACTCCTTTTTGTTTATGGGGTAGCGAGAAACGGTGTTATTTACATACGCGTCCAACGTATATACATCAAATACACACATATATATACCTGTCCATGGTTACGGCAACTGTCAAGCGCGACAGGCGTAAAACGGATCGACGTCGGAAGTGAAACGATGCGTGCGGTGTGCAAAGCAGCACCGGGTCCAAAATAAGATTATACGAGCGTCTTTGATACTGCGTTGGGAACGCTACGATAAGCAACACGATTGGCTTGCGCAATGACAGTCTTCGGCAGTCTTCGCGTTTTGGCACTCGTCTTCCTAGTCGCGGGGTCCTCGTAAGGGGATTTTCGCCTTGAGAGAAAGTTATCTCTCCCTTTTTTTTTTCCGCGATACTGCGATGCCGTTGTGTCCCAGCGGCGCGAAGAATAATGCGTTGTTATTGATGACGGTCGGAAGGCACGTATCCTCGTGCATCCCATCGACCCGGTGAACAGAAATGGGCAAGCAAAACGGCTCGTGCTGGTGGTGCGTGAAGGCCGTCAAGTGGATACCAGTGATATTCATTCTGACGATCGTCGCGTGGTCCTATTATGCTTACGTCGTGCAATTGTGCTACTGTGAGTACTCGTGAATATTTAATTTTACGTCATTCCCTCGTCGTCGATCGATTTACTTGCTGTAAAAGTGATGTTCATTCTAACCTCACATTTTTTTTCCCTTTTATCTGGAAGGTCAATAACGGTGCATTGATCTTCTCGTGATTCTCGAACACGAGTGTACGATTGTCAGAGTGATTAATTATTAATAGGAGAAAAACTGTAGAATTATTAATAGGTTAAAAACTGTAGAAAATTAAATTAGAAAAATTTACATTTAATTCATTTATATTTATTTACACAGCTATGACACATATATGTTCCTCTGTTTATAAATTTAGCTAGTTGTGAAATAGATTTCGCTCTTTAGAAGCTGTTCTTTACATTTATTTATATTACGTCTTGTTTCAGATACAATAGACAACTATGTTCAAAAAGGTTTGTATAGATCATGTATTATTTTAATCAATGTTAATATTTGTTACATTGTATTATTTAATTCTGTTTTTTCTTTTTGTAATTATAACTATTATTATTAGTATCATTGTTTTATATGTTTATATGATATCGAATATTTTATTCTAATTCCAAAATCACATTAATCAATCTTGTGCACACACACAACATTCTTATCGTTTATGTATGTTTTACAGCTTTCTATCTGCTTTTCTTCCACCTCCTAATTCTGATGTTTTTATGGTCATACTGGCAGACAGTGTATACAAATTTAATGCCAGTGCCAGATAAGGTAATTTATCTAATTTATATCAATTAAGTAGAGCTATTTATTATATTATATAACATAGTGAGACTAATATTGTTTTTTTATAAATGTTACAGTTTAAAATACCTGATGTCGAAATGGAAAAATTACAGCAAGCTGAGACAGAAGAAGCGCAGAGACAAATTTTGGAAAGATTTGCACAAGATCTTCCTGTTACTAATCGCACTATAAAAGGAGGTAACAATTTTATTTACAAAAAATGATTTAATAATGCAACTTAATATATCTAAAAAATTTACAGTTATATTAATGGCATTTTTTTAGCTATGAGATTCTGTGAGAAATGTCAGTTAATAAAGCCTGATAGAGCACACCATTGCAGTGTATGCAGCACTTGCGTCCTAAAAATGGATCATCATTGTCCATGGGTAAACAATTGTGTAGGCTTCCACAACTATAAATTTTTTATGCTGTTTCTAGCATATGCACTTCTCTACTGTATGTTTATTACCGCCACATCTTTACAATACTTTATACGATTTTGGAAAGTGAGTATCTTTTTTTTGTAATAAATCATGCAAAAATGATTTATTTTGATTATATGATGGAATATTTATATTAATAATTTCATCTTATAATTTATGATGAAATAAATTTTAAAGAAAAATAAACTATGAACTTTTTTTTAGGGAGAATTAGATGGAATGGGTAGATTTCATCTACTATTCCTTTTTTTTGTTGCCTTGATGTTCGCAGTCAGTCTTAATTCTCTTTTCTTCTATCATTGCTATCTTGTTGTGCATAATAGGTCAACACTAGGTAATTATTAGATATTTTAAATTTTAACATTATGTAATATTTCTTGTATAAAATTAATTAACATAATATTTACAGAGGCCTTCAGAACACCTATGTTTCGAACAGGGAAAGACAAGGATGGATTTAGTTTGGGAAAATATAATAATTTTCAGGAGGTATTTGGTGACAATCCAAGGCTCTGGTTTCTCCCCATATTTAGTAGGTACGTGTGTTTTGTTTAATACTTCCTATGCGCCGGAATTGCGATTGTGATTTATAAAGTGGGAACCATTTGCACAATACGTAATAACTGAATTATTGTATTAATTTGTATGCTTCTAGTATACTGCCTATGATAATCTTTAAAAAAACAACTATGCAGTTTAAACTGGCATACTTAAACGAAATTTGAAATGCGGTAACATATAAGTACTGCAGGGCCTTGAGTAAAGTGTGAGCAATTTTAATTTTTTTTTTAAATTTGTTTTCCTTCAAAAGCAAAACAATTGCATGTTTATGTAATTTTTTATTTATATTTTTCTCTATATAAATATATATTTTTGTTTAAATACATGTAGAATGCTCCAATTGTGTGGCAATATTATCATTTCTCTATATATTATTTCAATTTAATCTTCTTCCATAAAATCAAGAAGATTTAAATGTATTATTGAAATAGAAGAATATATGTGTGTTAAAAACTACTCTAATACATCCCTTTGTTATAACAGAAAAAAGAAATCTATACAATTTATATTTTATATTTACAATCAAAGCAGGATGCACACACAGATAGATAGTTATATAAATTGAAATTTTAATTGTTCTTTGTCTTATTCCGTGTGTGTATAAACTCTTTTTCCTATTTTTTGATGCAAACACAGTCTTCTAGAAATGTGAAAAGTTGTTTTGGTGCACCATTGACTAGTATGCAACTATCGCACACTTTAAATTGTTTTTATGAGCACTATATTTATTTGCACCGATTATACGGCCGTTAAGAGATATAGTAGATTCAGTCACTTTAAATTTTCACTTTTAAATTGGAGTGGTTGCATTGGATGTGTTCTAGTCTGGGAAATGGTGTCGTCTATCCAGTAAGATCGCAACACCAGGGCACACCCAATACTTATGACTCCATGGGCAGTACTCAGAACAGGTCAGCAGCATAAAAACTTTAGTGCAAGTGTTAACTATTTCGAATTATCTTTACTGTGGAACTCGTTTATCTTTACTATAAATACATAATATAAATATTTTTAAATTTGTTTCTAAATTTTGAAGGAAAATTCTTATAATTTATTTTTATAAATTTTACTTCATGTTTGATTTAAAAAATCATTTTATTCCACTCTTTTAGTATATTTAGTATATTTTTCTTTATATGTTTAATGTTTATATCTTACATTTATTTATTTTTTTTTACAGAGTTCCAGAGTAATGACATGATTTATAAGTGCTTTCAAATTGCATGCAATGCATTTGTATATTGAGATTTTTGTTTGACACTGCCTATGATTTCTACAGCTATTTCCCTAATCTCTTCTTAATATAACTCAAGCTTTTCTATAATATCTGCAAAATCTTTCTTTATTCTGCTTCTGAGAAGGTCTTCTTTGTAAACATAATTAGATTTGACGGAATTGACACTTTACAGTTTACATATCTTTTTAGTTTAGAAAATATATTTTTCATCAATTTTTTTTTGTTTTACATTCTTTTTACCGAAATATATTTTAAAGGAAATGAAGAAAGTATAGGGATATTAGTGCAAATAAAAAAAATTTTAAGTCTCTGCAGTATTTTCTCGGTCATATCTCGGTTATACACAATATTTTGTTTATACATAAGTATTTGTTACAGAATGTGAAAGGTTTAATCATGACATATCTTTAAATTATACATAAAGAATTCAGAAATATTTTTTATTATTTGTATTTATAATTTTTTGTTTTAAAATTGCATGTTCTATATGTGACATTATAAATTTCAATTAAAGACAAATTCGCATAAGATTTTTACAATTATTACGTGAGGTATTGTGCATCTGGTTTTTACAGATAGTACTTGTAATACAAAAATGATGTAACTATGTACAGTAATTATTCTTTTTTTTGGAGGAAGTATCTTCTCACAATATCTTCCTCTTTTATTGAAATCGAGATTTCATTTTAAATTAAAACAAATGAATGAAATAAAACCAATGGTCAAGATGATAATATATAAGATAGTTACATCATGTGTGAGAATAATGGACGTGGGATGACATCGAATAGAAGGTAGGGTATGGCTTGCAGCTTTGGAGATGGGGTAAACTTTCCCGAGCGGCTGTGCAATGAGGATACACATACTCTGTTGGGCACCCATGGCACCCAACAATGGGGTGATGAAACCGAGTTCGATTCCCCACTTCCCTACGTAAATCAGGTACTTCGTAAACTCGATCTTTAGATCGAGATAATAATCTTGCTCAAAATAACTAGAGCATATCAAGACAGTTTATATAATAGTCATTATAAATTCCTTATATTTATGTATAGATGTTTTATTATTATTTAATGATCTATGCAGCTGTAAGATATTGATTGAAATGCAGTGTATCTTACAACTTATAACTTTAGTTTTCGTTCTGACAAATTTGAAATCAATTTTTTTCTAAAAATGTTGAGGTGTCAATAGTTTCCGAGTTATGAACGATTATTTGTACAAATTAAGTTTATATCTAAATAAATTTATATCTATATGAATAATTTATATCTATATGGATATTTATATCTATATGGGTAATCAAATTGTGTTTTCTAGTGGAAATTTTAATTTGTAGCTTAGTGATCAAGAAACATAATGTTAAAATTTGGGAAACTACATATATTATAAATATATATATTATATATATTATAAATATATATATATTATAAATATATATATTATATATATTATAAACGTGATGATATCAACATTTTGCATTGTTAAGAAGAATTTATTCCAAATTAATCAAAGAATTTATATATATATTTATCATTTATAATTAAGGTCGTGAATTGTGGAACATTTTGTTTATTTGGAGGACTTGGCATATGTTTTTGCATTGTAGTAAATAAATCGATGTATATTTAGAAAAAAATGATGAAAGGTGGTAAAGTGAAATTCATACATTATATAAAGAGTGTATATTATTTTTAAACGTTTATCTATTAAAAGACAATGATACATACATTCCAATACTAATTTCAAGTACTATTATTTTGTTGTTGAAAGAAATAAACGTTTGTATCTATATAAAGTAGGAAAAATATATTTTAAACATCCGTAAAAAAAGTCAGTTTCCATAAAAATAAGATTCTATTTATCATTATTCTTTATCCAGAAAATTCCTATCCTACATTTTACTATGCATACATCAACAAATATTACGAAAAATACAATATTAAGAAATTCAAAAAATATGTGTATAATTACACAATATTATTGATATATACTGATTAAATACAATAATCAAATGCATAATGTTTTTTTACATTTTACATATGCATTACACGAAATTTTGTTATACAAATCAGATTATATATAAAATATACATCATGCTACGAAAAAAATTACAGTAAGTTTCCAATATTTTAATACTAATAAATACTAAACTTATTCTTTTGCCGAGTGCTCCTGCTTCCATGCCATACTAATTAAATATCCATAAACTATTTGTCTTGCTTTTATTTTCCCTTTTAATTATTTTGTAAATATTAAACTACTGAGATAATTCATTTTTATAATGATCTGTAATATTAATTCTTGTTATGAAACAATTTTTGTTTTATTATTTTAATACATACTTAGAAATATATAAAAATAACAATATATGTAATCGTATGTCTTTCTTGTAAAAAAATTGATATTACTATATTTTTTTCAAAAGCTTGTAGTCAATACTCCAAATCTATTTATAAATAGAAAAACAGATAACTTCGAATTTTATTTACAGCATATATATTATAATTACATATATACATATGATGTATAGGTAAATGTAACAATATTCCTTTTTGATATAATTTATTTTACTGAATTTTTGATTAACCACAGGTCCACCATTGATCAAATGACTTTGGTGCAGGAAGCTACAATTTTGGCTCTTGGCGCTGGGTAATATTATCCATAATTTCCTGATAATATATTACAACTAATTTTATGCATGTATATACATATAAGGTTTTCAAAGATGCGGGTGTTCTTTTCTTTTTTTCATTCTATAATCTTGAATTTTTATAATCTATAATCTTAATGTACACTTTATTTGGGTGTGAGGAATGCAATTTAACATCGCTTATATTTCTAAAATGATAATATTTATCTAATAATATTTGGAAAAGCTATAGCTTTTGTTTTTGATTTTTTGTGTGATATGTGATTCGGAGGCTTTTATTATATGTTATATCTTGGTTTTTGTTATAGTATATAAGATCTCCATGTCTTACATTGCCATCATATTTCACAAAATCGTAATTTCTCTTAATATAATGTATTAAAAATATTTTACAGCACTGCTGTGATAGGTCCTTCTGTTGATGCTGACCAACCACTGATGAATACTACAGAATCTGTCTGAATAGCACTGTTTGTACGACAAATTGGCATCCCTTCATGCAATTACTATTTTGCTTTATAATATTGAATATAATTCGGAATAATATTAATATAATATTAATATATTATTTTATTTTTGGTATGCTTTTTACGTAAAACAATGTATTTTAACTATTAGCATTGTGCATCGAATTATTTTTGTTCTTGCAAATTGAAAATTCACATTGAAATGTTAGCCAGTAAAGTCAAGTATTTTTTATCATTACGGATTGTGTCTCTCGCACCAAAAGAGTTGAATATTAACTGTATTATACATATATATTGTAATATATATATTATACATGGATCGTTGTTAAAAATATTGTTACAATTACTTGTAATTTTAATCATAGTATATCATATAATTAGATTATCCTCTGTAGTAATATATATTAATATCCATGTCATACTATAAATTTATAATTGCTTGAGTGTGTAGATTAATTGTACCATAAATGATGAGACGAGTCGCTGCAGTATAATTCAGAGGGTACTGCATTTGCAATGACTATCTTTATCAAGATATAGACATATACGTATATGGGTGTGTTGAACAAGATTTACAAATAAAGATTCGTCCATACTTGTGCAAAATAGGATGATTCCAAAACTCCCTTCTCTTATTAGAGTTTTATGTAAATTATGATGTTTGACTTGTTAATAATTTTTTATATAAAATAATTGTTTTTAAAAGAAATGTAATGTGTAGAAAATTATCAATAGAATTATGTATTAACTCGAGTTTTATCTGATATTTAAGGAAAAGATTTAGAAAATATACATTAGTGAGATGCAAAAAGTATACACACAGATGTGCAAAATTTATTGTAATCTTTTATTGCGTAGCAAAAAAGAATCATCCTATTAATTTATCAAAAATAAATACTTAATATTATTTTACTTCTCATGATAAAATCTATAATAAAATGCTATCAATTTTTTAAATTTATAAAATTAGTTGCAATGTATAATGCTGTTATACATAGAATAATGGAAATGCTTGTACTTATATTTATAAGTATTTTTGATTATTTATGATTCACACATTAATTTGCAAAAATAACAAAACACTATTTTTACAAAAATATTTAAACTCAGAAAATAAATTATGCTGTTGATATATGTGGTGTACTTTATTATATGCTATGAATTTCGGACACGTAATATATTGTATATATCTTGTATTAGCCTGCCATATTTTTGTTTATACAAGTTAAGATTATGTTTATACTTGTGGTATAAGAGCAATATATGCATTGTCAATCCTACATGTATATAATAATTATTAAAAGTCAAAATAAACATATAAACATTAATTTACATTTATAAACTGACAATGAACTATGTAATAATGTTTGTTTAGACATTAATTTAGATATTAATTTTGTACCTCTTATATGATTTATTGAAAATTATTCATTCATAGTTAATCAATAATAATTTGTTTATTGTTTTAAGATGTGTTTACATGAAATTGGTAGATGTTTATTTTCTTATAATTCATATGCAATACACATATGAAAATATATTTCTCATTTAAGAGATAAATAAAAAAATTTATATGTGAAATATATTTACAAATTGTAACCATATTTCTTAATCCAATTTAATCCTTCTGTTGTCAATGATTTTGGCCAATATTCCAAACCAATGTACCCGGTGTAGCCAATTCTTTCCAATAAAGAAAATACATATTTATAATCGATCTCGCCTGGAGTATCTGGCTCATGCCTATCAGGAACTTGAGCTATTTGAACATGACCTATAACAATAATATAGTATTATACTTTAAGAAAATAATAATATAAATATATTAACATTATATTTTGTTACATTTAAAGAGAGAGAGAGAGAGAGAGAGATTAAGATAATATTGTAAAAAAACTAACCCACATAAGGTAAAAATTCTTGAATGCATTTTGTAATATTACCACAGCAATGTTGCAAGTGGAAAATATCCATTTGTAGCTTAAAGTGTGCACTATTTATCTTCTTTACTAAATTTAAACCTGTAGTGACAAAAAAAATAGAATTACTCTTTAAGTCTATTATAAAAAAAAATAATGGTAATTATATTAATGAATAGTCTCTTACCTTTCTGAAAATTATTCATGTAATAATTTGGGACACTATAATTATTAATCGGTTCAATAACAACAACAATGTCTTCCGATTTACATTTCTCAATGGCATATAACAGGTTTTTTTCATAAACTATGTCATTATCAGTAGTGGGCGATTCTACTTTTCCTGACATTACATGAATCCTAAGGATAGAATCTTGAGAATAGAATTGGTTCTCATCATATAATATAAATTGTTCATCTATGTAAGCATTAATTCTCAATTTTGTGTCTTTATTATAGTTATACTCACATCTTACAATCCAAAGCTTTTGCATATTCTATCGTTTTCTCAATACTTTTCTTGAAGTTTTCCTCTTCACCTGGAATTGCAGCAAAACCCAATTCCCCTTTCGTAACATCACCTATTGTGACAATTCAAGTTAGAACTAAAAAAGTTAATTACTTTTAATATGTAACATGTGAACACAATATACCTGTGAATACATTCAACAATATTTGATTGACATCTGCTTTCTTTTTAGCTGTGGCAACCTGTTGAACAGAGAAGCCAAATGGAAATCCACTTTCAACTGCTTTAAATCCTGCTTGCTTAGCCAGCTGATATCTGTCAATAATATTGGGAGCCTCCGTAAACATAAAAGATAGGTTACAAGCAAACTTTAAAGCCATGGTAGTGGTTGCTGTAAGAAACGTGATCTATTGTAAGTTGAATTCTCAATCAATTATGGCATTTATCAATGCATTACATAATAATTCTTATCTCTATGATAAAATCTATAGCAACTATCATTAATTAGATAATTTTCAAGATTATTACACAGAAAATAAATACTTTTAAATCATAAATGATTATTTCTCACCAAATGTTCTTATATTTTTTATATTCACATATTCTGTAATATATATCTATGATATGTTATATACTTTTGACTTTTCCCCATTTTCAAAAGAGATAAAGATTTCAAAAAATTTTATATTTGATATAATTTTTTTTATATTCAAGAATTTTTTAAACAAAGGCTGCGTTCCATTTAATGATCGCGACGCTCGTAGAATTCTCTCATCCTTGTTGTTTGCTAAAAATTAAACAAAGACACATTATGTTTACGAGTGCTACGAGATCACTAACAATAAATGGAACGGAGCGAGAGTCATTTAATCTCGTCCATGCTGCTTCTTTGAAAACGTCACGTATGACGTATATACTATAGAATGCGGAAGGAGAAGAGGAGAGGAGAAGAAGGAAAAATGTAGGCTGGATAAGATTATTCCCTGCTAATTAAAGATTTGTTCTTTATAAATGTATTTATTGCATTTTTTTTATTTTTCTCTTCTTTCTCTTCCTCTGAAAATATATACATATATATATGTATACACATATGTCGAAATCGGCTTGTCATGTCCGTCTTATATTAAAATCAAGATCTCATTTGCCTTTATCGGCAGTTAATGTTACGTCTATATATTCGATATACTGCATTATTATTGTTACATACTGTTTAATATATTATTTATATAAATAATTTTAAATCTAATCTCTTTATATGAAAGAGAAAGAATCGAAATTATTGATTCAATATCAGTTGATAATGAAATAAAATATTTTTCAAAGAAAATGTTATGAAATTGCATTTTTTGTTTGCATATTCATAAAATCTTTTTCACGCATATTTATCATTATGTGTTGTTGTAATGATGCAATTTTTTTGACGCATTTTTTATGCATCGTCGGTCTAACAAAGTAAAAATTATGAAACTTTTGTTACATCACTGGAATCAACCGCAAATTTAATCTTCTCTGATTTAAATACTCATAAGACCATATGCAGTTTTCATATAAAAGTATAAACAAAATTAAAATTAAAAATACTTATGTATATGTACGTTTAGGATGTGGCAAATTATCTTTACGTTTTTTTGAACGTACAAAAGTGATAATGATATTTCGCTTAAATTTAAAAAGTTAATAAATATATTTTTCTTGTAAATATAGTTTTTTTCATAAGTTTACTTATACACAAATGTATTAAATAACATTTTTATATACAAAAAATAATATATTTGCATATCAATTTCTGCTAAAGACAGGTACAGACTTATATATATGTATATATAGATATATATTTGCATACATAAAATATTATATTTAAATATTAGATCTTTCACATTATATTCAATTGTTATATTACAATTCTTATTATACCCTGTTTCTGATTTATTTTTAATCAACGTCTTTATATCTATTATTTAAAATACCTCAAGTTTGTATTTCATATAATTAAAATGCCACTTATTTGCTTAATGATTTTGTTTCTTAACTAATTATTAACTAATAAATTTGTTTCTTAACTAATAAATTATAATATCAGAAGCAAAAACCTTGTAATTTTTTTATGATATTAAATTAGTTTTTTCGTCTATTTGTGTGTTATTTAGTTTTAATTAGTTTTTTAATGTTAATTTTTTCGTATATTTCGTTTATTCACGTGCTAGATAGCAATTGGATTGATAAAATAAATATACCCAAAGTATTAATTTTTTTCTTACATTAATAAATGTATGTATAATTTTCAGATATATGCGTATATATGTATTATATTTTTAATGAAACCTTATCAAGATTTACAACCATTTATTAATCCAGAGATTAAAAAGAAAATTTTCAATATATCTACAATTCTCGTATATCGAACATCTCGATTATCGAACACTAGTGATGTTAAAAAATTATTTTTTTCTTCTCAAAAAAATTCATATAATTTTAACTTCTGATATAATAATTGGATATAATTATAATGAGGAACTTGGAATTTCAATTGTTAATTTCTTAACACTCGAGTTGATCAAAATATAAACTTACAATAAACAATATACTTGATTCGAATGAGTTAATTAATGCGTACATTGTAGACGCAAAGAATCGAAATTTTTTTTTGTATATAAGTTGTGATTTTTAAAATATTATTGAAATATACATTAAAATTTCTTTAACGTAATTATAATGCGATTATATAGAAGAGTTCTTGCATCTCGGCCCCATAAATAATCAATATGATTGAATTTTTCATACGGTATCTTTTTGACTTCTACAACGTTTGGTAATCTATTCACCAGTTTTTGAACATCCTGAAACAATTATGAGACGTGAAAATAAAAAAAAAACCAAACTTTCCACAAAAATTTAATTTTGATTTTAATTCTAATCACTTTCGTTGATTACGCATTTTAATTCTAGATCTTATTTTCAGCATGAATTCTTCGAGAATGTATTTATATTAGATATTTATTTGATGCAGAAGTCTTAAAATAAACATTCTAAGATATTAATATAATGAAAGAAATTCAAATTTATTTCTTTTTGCATTTTTATAATTTTTGAAATCAAAAACGCGCGCGCGTGACACACAATACAAATAAATAAAAAAAATTTATAATATTAGTATTAATTAAATTTAACATAAAGATTACATAAAGATAACTTTAATTTATATATAGAACTTATACACACAGTATAATTTCATAATATATAATATTTTTTATATAATTTAATTGTATAGAACTTACAGTATAATGTGTGAGAAAATCATTGTCACTATAAAAAATCGCCACGGGTACTTTAATCCTTTCAAGATTATACTTGGGTGGTTGAGTGGATCCATAAATTTTTAGATTTTCTTTAGCGCCATAATCATATTTTCGAAAACAGCCTGAAAAACAAATGATTATACATTATATATAGGATGTCTCAACATAAATATAACTATCTCTTTTATTTCCCAAAATAGATTGCCAAAAACGTACCGAACGTAAAGAAAATGTGAAAAATCGTGCGAGTTATTATGACATATCATTCTTTTTTTATACATACGATGTTATGTTACTCACCGGAGATTATTAACTGACCATAATGAACGATTTGTTTTATTGCAGCGCCGGCCGGAAAGTGTCCCAATATCAAAGGTAACATGGATTTATCAAGCTGATCACTACCGAATCCGGCGACTAGATAAAACCAACAGTTGCAGAAGCTCTTTGTCACCGCGCAAGGAGCGTTGCGTACAAGGGTGCCAAACACACGTGTTTGCCATTTATTACGAGGGAATTGATGAAAGTTGAAAAAGTAGGAGCTCCACTGAAACCACTGAAACGGTGAGTAATAAACATATAATCTCACGGGAAAAAGAATTAGAAAATTGCATTACCTCCAATATATCATTAAAATGCACGAGATACTTGAAGAGTGGACTTCTCTGATTCGATAAGAACGCTATAGGCGCCAGACTTATCATTCCCTTGATTTTAGAATTATATTCGGGTCTTTCGCTTAGCATAACGTAAAACGTGGTTGTACCTTGACTATGACCAATATAATATAATTCGGAATGACCAGTCTTTTCTAAGATATAATCTATCATTGCTGGTAAATCATAGTATCCGATCTCGTGCCAACTGTAAGAGAAATATATATTTTTTTATAATACTTTTCTATATTTACTTTCCTATACTTTAATCGTTTAAAGAATTGTTGGATTACCTGAAATTCCAAAACTCTCTATTCTTAATTGAGTAATGCTTGTGGCCTTTAGAGTAAGTATTGCCACGAGCATTCGCGAGCCAAACGTCGAATCCATTGTCGCAAAGAACATAAGCTGCAATGAAAAATTATATAAGAAAGATGATCTTTATATTATTTTACTAATAAATAACTTTCACGCCATATAAAATTCTTTTGTTGATCGTTAAATTTGTTGATATTATTGAAAAATATATTTTAGTATCGGAAATAGAAATAATAAAAAAAAGAAGTAGTGACCAAGAGCCTTGCGAGGTCCCAGTAATACCCAATCTGCAGAACTGGATATAAGTCCGTGATTTACAATAACTGGTAATTTTGAATCTGCACCGGAAGATTTGAGAGCTTCTAGAACACGATGACAATCGGGAGTAACTGATGAATTAAAATCTTCGCTACTGTTATTGATAACAGCAGTATCAATATTTGTGATAGAGTCAGTTTTTATTGGCACTTGATCATTAGATGAGATTACACGATGTACATTCAAGCAATAACCATCTTCTGTCCAAATGTGGTGGATCTCGGGTATGTAACCGTGAGCCTTAATCAGTTCAGGCTGCAATTGTATAAAATGATTATGTCGTATAATTCTTTATCAATGAATGACTTCATATGTCCATTAATTCATTAAATTATATAACTCTTTTTTTAATTGATTCAAAATTGTATAAACATAAATAACGAAGTTATTCTCTTTATATGAGCCAAATTCCTAATTATTAAATCTTAATAAAATTTTTAAATTTTAATACAAATTTTAATTTTGCGGCGAATAAGAGGCAAATTTAAATTTTTAATTTTTAAATTCAAATGGCCAAATGCTCACTATATTTGCAATAATAATTCGTGAAAATTGACTATAATAAATAAGAATTAAATATAAACTTTTAAAATATAAATATATTTTAAAAGTTTATATTTTTTAACATAATTTTAAAATAATTTTCAATAATATGTGAAAACTATTCTAAAATTTATTTTATATTAAGCTTAAAAGATTTGCAATAAATTGATGTTATTTATGCTATTTTATATGTGCATATAAATGACACATTATTTTTTATTTTTGTTTCTAATTACGACACTTTTATGTGCTGCAAAAAACCAAATGACATTGTTCATACAAACATTAAAGAGAGTTCCATTTGGTTGGAGAGTTAAGGTTCAAGATTCATAAAAATAAATAGCTAAGCGCTACTAAGAATTAAGATTCATAAAATTAAATAGCCAAGCGCTACTAAGAATTAAGATTCATAAAATTAAATAGTCAAGTGCTACTAAAAATTAAACGATTTATGAAACTAAAGCACATTTGACATTGATCTGAGATTTATAACATACAATTGTCGGGTATCTCAAAGCGGAATAATTCGATTTAGTCCGCAATGTGTCTCGAGGAGTTTATCCAATTAGCTGACGAAATATCATACCAAACGTGATGTTTTTTTCGGAAAAGGAATTATATATCAATGCGAAAATTATATTTAATAGTACTACACAAGGTTAAGCAAGTCTGTTATGAAACAATGTATGTAATTATATAAAATTTGTTATGAAACAACGTACATAATTATACTATTGTATAATATACTAATATTACTATACATAAATTAGAGCGATCAAAGTTATCACAATAGTGTTATTAACTTTACACTAGCATGCTCTTAAAGCTCACTTTAAATGCACTCTAATTCGCGATGGAATCACGAATCGTACTTATTATTTTATATGTAAAATTTTGATATATATGTATATTGTGTATCTCTCTGTGTTATGACTCAATTAGATTATTGCTATTTTCGCTAATTTTTGCTGATATTTATTATAAATATAATTCTTTTGTGAATATTATTGTAGATCATTTAAAGCTGGCTTAAGTTTATTACAACTTTATATCATATCAATTTATATTTAAAATAAAAAGTTCAAAAGTATAGATTATAAAGATTAAATCAATTTTCAACAAAATTAAATTTGCGAAATATTAATCAAGAAAGAATAGCCAATTATTTTCTCTAATAATAAATTTGGGATTGCAATATTTTGAAAGCAATTAGTTAATTCATTAAAAATATTTTTGAGAAGTTAGAAAGATAAAATAATTTAACGACTTATTAAATCATATTCTATGCTAAAAATTTTGCCACAAAAATATATATATATATATATATATATATATATATATATAAATGATTGAAAAATGTATTTCTGATGATTCTTCACAATCAATATCGCAAATTGCAATTTAGCCATTTAATTGTACTTAACTTGCTGAACTTGTGTAGGTGTATATTAGCAATTAAAAGTTAAATCAATGACATGTATTGTGATGATAAAATACTAGCGCGTAAAAAATATGTTCAAAAAATATTTTAATTATATTTAATTTTATATGAAAATGTACATGAAAATGTAATTTTACATGAAAATGTAATGTATAAAGAACAGATTTAATTTTTTTTAGCACTTTGAACACTAGCTATTGAACTATTGAACTATTGAACTCATATTTAGAAATTTACATACTAAATATTTGCATAGTAGACATTTAGACATTTACATAGTGGAATAATAAGATCGAGCTTGCAAATTTTGTTATTAATACAAAAAAGCGAAAACACATAAAATTAGCAATATATTTAAGATAATGGATTTATACATATATTATATTTTTGGCATTTAAATGTTAAACAAAGAAAGATGGACTATATGAAATATAAAGAAGATTATAAAGAAAAATAAACTTAATATTATTTAAGAACGTAATAAAAATATAATTATGATAAAAACAAAATCAAAATTTTTTGTTATGTAATGAATAATGTGTTATAGATTGAGCTTTATCTTGATTGAAAAGTTAATAAGCTTTGTACAGTCTTTATCAATTTCATTGAATTTTTCTATATTTTATTTCTTTTGAATATTGTAAATTTGGCTTATATTTTTTCTCGCTAATTTAATTGCATATATACATGAATTGTCATTATGTGAATAATAGTTTATTAATAAAAAGAATAATCTAGACAAATTAGCGGGAAAAAATCCAAATTTGCAATATGTAAAAGAAATGAAATATCATGGAAAATATATCTCCTCAGTAATTCATCCTTCGATTCAAATATATGCGCGTTTTATACCTATTTACATCTACATTTTATTTTAAAAGGAATAGGCTTTAGACACACGTGTGTGTGCACGTGCGCAAATATATGTATTTAAATCGAAGAATGAGTTACTGGAGAAACTTAATTAAAGAGTTAATCGATGTATTAGAATATTTTTTTTACTAATATCGTCTGAACTTTTTGTGAGGAATTTATATTATTTTTTTATATCATTAATATGCTTGGAAATTATGTAAGTTTGATAGTTGCACGTGTGCTCCAGATCGAAGTTGATTTAAATAAAATCAAAGTGATGCTTTAACAGTGTCTTACCGTTGTCATATGTGCTTCATCCTGAGTACTCGTTGCTTTATCCATGCCGTTACAAAATACAGCGACGATGTAAAATTTGCGGGCCTCTCAGTAGAACAATGTTTTCTTTTATAGAAACACGCGTGATCCTTCGTTTCCCCACCTCTCGTATTTCTTCCTCTCACTTTTTTCCCTTGGAACTTACGTGCGATTTCCGAGAAAGCGACCCGCGAAATCATGCGCCGTAGAAGGAACGGAATCGTCTGTATATGTTTCAAAAAGAAACGCGCCGCGTTCGCGCAGTGAAAGGCGCGTTTTCCTTTACACCCGATGAGATCGCGCCGAAATTAGCGATGGATTATTAACGTCGTGGGGATGAGAATTCTGCTTCGGAGTCGGCGTTATTTTGAAGACGCAATGGAACGAAACTACGTGCGCGCATACGCACGAATTCCGGAGCAGTTTCGGAGCTCTTGTTTCGTAGGAGACACATGAGAGAAAGAGTGTGCGACTGAACTGTCATTGCGAGTATAAAGTGAACGCAAATATGCGTAGTGTGTATATATGTATACATACACGCGTCGACAGGGCTGTACTCAAGATGGTACGAAAACGGGAACGAAAATTAAAGACCCCTTGGGAAAAAGTCTATACCTAGGTTACGTTCGAAAACGTAAGTAACTGGAAAATTTTATTCGATGGCTGATTCGAACCAATCGGAAACGCTTAAAAGAGTTTCGGAACGGCTATCGAGTAAAATTTTTCTCGGAGAGTACGTTTTGATTTCTAATAATGTACGATATTACATTTGTCGTGCAATAAATTTTTTAAACAGATTAATTGGCTGCAGAATAAAAAATTTCTGACGCTTTAGAGATTTTTAAGGATTAGAAAATATATATAAATTATTGCCTGAGAATTCAAATTAATTATTAAAATATTACTATATATAATGCGAAAATGCGGATTTCTGAGTTATACTTGCGCAGAAAATTATGTATATTTATTGAATAAAATATACAATCGTGAATATTGTAAAAGTAATCTTTATATATTATATTTATAATTATTTAATTCATAAAATATAAGAAAAAATAATTTTAAAAAAGGATAATCGTGCAAAATTCCATGAATATTAAACATAAAAGTACGTGTGAAATGCTATTGGCTAATAGCACATCGAGGGCTTCATTCGAAGAGATAGTAACAACATGGCATAGCCAATCAAATTCGCTACCTCGTCTATCCCTATCTGGGAACAATGAAAATAACATATATGAATACGATATTGCATCACATTAAATTATATTACATCATTACGTTGGTACATCACACACTCTCGGGGTATCCGTTTAATTCTTCTACGAGGTGATTCGCCTGGGTAATTTCTGATCCATGGTTTCGACGCGTTGGCGATCCGCGGGTTGGCGCGCATGTGCGCGCGCATGCGCGACGCTTCGAGTCGGATCTCGCGCCACCTCCCTCTCTCGCGGGTACCGTTTGTCGTCAAGCGGAGCCGCCATGATTGTTTCGGCGGTGTCGTGCGAGTGCTCTGCGACCGTGAATTCAAAAAACACTTCCATTTCCTCAGGCGCCGTAAACGGGTCTACATCCTGCGTCCTGCGCGTATCACGCTGCGCGGCTGCAATGGCGGTGTAGACTTCTCTCGTCCGAGTTGTTGCGGGTCTCGTTTTCTTCAAGGTGTGAGTAAGTAAAGCGGAACGGGTCCGTGGATTCTCGCCATCTCCTCGCGTGCCATCTCGAGGTCAGCGACGGCGTCATCGGCCTCCTCGATGCGCGCGATAATGCGATGTCACGACGTGCTCGCCATCGGTTCATCTCGCTCCCGACTCGCGCCCGTTCGTACTTTCGAGAATTTCGCTCTCTTCCATATTGAACGCGTTCGCCGATCTCGCCCGCGCATTTCGCTCGCTCGTCCCGAAGGAGGATTCACGGCGCGTCGACGACGATCGTTTGGCGCGATACGATATACGTTGCACGCGCGTAATCGGAGAGTATCAGGTTAGGACGCAAAATCCAACCGCGTGTTTGCAAAACTTTCCTTCTCCTTTCTTCTCCTTCTTTATCCTTCCTTCTCCTTCTCGGCTCCTTCGCACGAGGAGCGATCGAAAGGAATTGCGTCTTGCAATTATACGATAGGTTAGGTTTTAACGCGATTCGATCGAAATTACGGTATTTGTAATAAACGCGTAAGCTTCCGTTAGAATGCTAATCTTTTCCGATAGAGCGATAAGTTCTTAATTTACTTCCTTTGTTCTGCTTTACTAGATATATGAGTCATTGAAATTAATTCACGTGAGCTGCGGAAAATAATATCGTAAATTGCTCTGTAATTATATTGTATATATAATATATTGCACATTGTATATTGCATATATACTGTAATTATATTGTAATTTAATCGATTGCAACTTATTGTCGACATTGATATATCATTTTTAAAGTTTGTTTTTTTACTAGGAAATTATTAATATGATATTAATATATTTATGTAGCGAGCAATGTTTTTACATAATACCGAAGTAAACTTTCAATAAACCAGTTAGAAAGTATTAGAAAGTACAGATTAGAATAAAGCTTTATTTAAGCTTTATTTAAGATTAGATAAAGATTAGGATTTAATATTGTAACTTGCTCTTATTGCAGGCTGTACGCTTTGTGTTGCTATCTGAATGGACAATAAGGTGGATGTTTCGGAAGTTGAAGATATTTCAATGATTGGAACATCTGGAATTTTTCACCTGCCTGACGTCCCAGAGATATCGGAGGCATTAGAATCGACTGGCCTTAGTCCCTTAACTTCTTCCTTGGATCAAGCTCTTACGCTGCAAGAAGATAAAGCTCTCTCATCCGAAGTTAACATGGGCATTGAGGATACATGGTATAAATTTGTTTTCTCTTTAATTTTAGAGTAATTTGTGTTAACATTTGTATCAATATCCTAATCATTTCTAATATTTTTATTTTACAGGACTGAAGCAAACAGTTCAACATCAGATTATGCAATTCCTCTTCCTCCGCCACCTGGATTAAATGATTTCTCGGATGTCGGTGCCGATCCCATTGATTCTGGAACTGGCATAGAACATGGTCCATTCCTGCCACCTGGTACACCAGCACTTAATAATCTTTTTGCAGAGGCAGGAGATTCGCATGATGATTCGCCAATGGGTGAGTGTATGTAATGTGATGTTTGAAATATAAAAATTATGTGACATATACGATATGTATTTATTATATTTTAATACATATTTTCAGAAGTAGTTGTCCTGCCTGCAGGTGTATGTGGTCTTCGTAATTTGGGTAATACCTGTTTTATGGCAGCTGGGTTGCAATGTTTGACCGCGACTCCACCTGTCCTACGACATTTCTTGGATTTACAGCAAAGAGGAGAGAAACTGCCTCCACCTGGATCATTAATGGCACACTTTAGTGTACTTCTTGGGAAAATGTGGTCTGGAAGATATAGTGTACTCAGACCGACAGAGTTCAAACAGACTTTAGGTGCTTATCATTCACAATTTAAGGATTACAGGCAGGTAAGTGTGCGATTATTTGCATATTCAATTAATTGTTTATCGTTTATTATCCAATATGAGATTGTGTTATATGTATTTAACAGCATGATTGTCAAGAATTTTTGGCGCTTCTATTGGATTCCCTCCACGAGCAAATGAATACAGCAAAGTGTGCCAAGAACTATCAAGTTCCATTGTCTACAACCACTGCCAATTCTTTTAATTCTATAGAAAATTCCAATGGAAAGACCCTTTCTCCTGTCACTGCCACGGCTAATCCTAATTCAGATCTTTTGGAAATGTATGAATGTCTATCACCAGAATGTCCAAATAGTCCCAATGTAACTATGGCTGGCTCACCAAGAGGTAAGAGACTACATAATGTATACACTTTTGAGAGATTGTATCTTGAATATCTTTTTAATATTTTGTAAGATTTTGATTCGTCAATCGGAGAGCTCGATAGTAACACAAATTCACCGAGGGATTCACCGTTAAATGGAGAGGATGATGAGGAAACGCTAGATTCAAATGAAATAATCGAGGCGAGATCGAGCACTTTTATTCATAACAAAGTGAACGAAGAAGGCACAAATGAAACTACTCCAACACGATCTTTGAGATTAGACACATTGATTGAACTATCAAAAACGCCGCAATATGGTGGTTTCGATATTCATAAAGAAGCTAAAACCAGTAATGCTAATTTCTTAGTAACGCAACAAGAATGTAATAACGAGATCCATTACGATTCACAGAAATTTCCAAAGGACAATGTCCGTAGGATGCGGCTAGACAATTCGAATCTGATGGAGAATCACGACTTTGATAATAAAAGTGTTAGTATCAAACGTATAAAAGAAGTAAATGTTCAGAAAGTCAACGGTAGTCTTGATCATGCATCAAATAGTTCTGACATCGAGTATGATAGCGGTCTGGAAAAGTGCAATGTGAAACGCATGAGATTAGATGATCAGGAAAAAAATCACAAGCATGATAGTCTGGGTAATGAGAATATTCAATGTTCGCGAATTCCACAAAATTATGGTACCGGCGCTATTGCTGCGCAAGAAGAGATCGAGGCGGATAAACACTGGGTAAAGCATTTGCGATCCAATAAAAGCATCATTGTTGATACTTTCCAGGGCCAGTTTAAAAGCACGGTAAGAATCTCGCGAATAATATCATTTGTCTATGTGGGAGACTATGCGTTGGAGAAATACCGTAAACTATAGGTACTTGCTGTAAAAAGTCTCCTATATTAAATTGCAGTAGATTTTCCATCCTGCCTTAAAAAGAAAAGAGGCAGGCTTCATTCTACTACTACAATTACAAATATATACATTATTACAACTATTACAGTTTTCTACAACTATTATATATTATTTTCATTAAAAAAGATTTTTTTTAATTTAATTATTCCACAGTGTGTCAAAATTAATAAATGAATTTTTAGTTACTAATTTTTTAATTTATTTAAAATATGATTAAAAAATTTAATTATATTCAATGATTTTAACATGTTTTATCTGTGACATGTCGAATATTTACATTTGTAATATTCCATATTTACAGGTTGTGTGCTCGGTTTGTAACCACGTTTCTGTTACATATGAACCTTTTATGTATCTATCGGTACCTCTACCTCACGCGATGGAGAGACAATTGAACGTCACATATGTTCCTGCAAATGGTGATCAACCCATGAGGTGCGTCGTTTCCTTAAACAAGCAATCACGAATTGGGAAATTGAAAGAGGAATTATTAAAAACGCTCGGCAAGGAGAATATCTCGGTGACGAATATTGCACTTGCAGAGGTTTTAGAGAATCACATAGCGAAGATTTTGGTAGGTACGAAAAAATATTTTTACGTTTTTAATATAAATCTATTTTAACGAAGTTTTTTTGTATCAGTGATTAATTCTAGCTATTAATTTATGCTAATCATTATTTTGAAAGTATATATAATGAAAATTATATTTTACAAATTACAAATTACAGTAATCGCGAATAAAATATAAATTAGCTAAGTATATATTAAATTTAGATTTATATATTTATATAAAGGTTTCCAGTAGCATTTTTTTGCTATTATCTTTTACAGGAATTTAGCATTAACTGCATTAAAAATGTTGATTCCGAATAAAATTGATCTCCGAATAAAAATTTAGGATTTAATTATTACTTCATAATTGAGTTCTATGCGAGTTCTTCTATTCAAGGCATAACGCACGCTGTTAGAAAATAATTCTGGAGAGTTAAGAAGGTGGTATATTCGAATAGGATCGATTATCGCCGATACCATTCTCCTAGAGAAACTCTATGAAAGAACATTCTCGTAACGTGAAAATATAGTTACGAGGCTACATTTCGTCGCACAAACTCATCGATTCTTCTCTTTATTCTCTCTCTTTTATCACCTCTTTTACTCTGTTATAATTTCGTCAACGCTGTCGGTCTTTTATCCTTATTGCTTCCTTACTATATATTATTTTCCCCTTGCACCATAGGTATCGGGAATTACTTGCTTGCCATAGCTTATCGTACTTAGGCGGAAACATCACTCTGTTGGATTCTACATCAAGGTTTTAAATTTAAGGATGACAATACACTCTTGAGACACATCAATGATACGAATCGATCAATATACGCCTTTGAACTCACGGAACCTCCCGATGCGTACACTTCAGTGTCTGATGGCGGTGCGGTGGCGATCGTCCTGCAGAGATGGATTCTTCTCAGAAGTGTACAATAATGGGTGAAGAAGTGCCATGCATGATCTGTCTTGAGGAATTGGATGGCGATTTGAAGAGGCATAGTGGAAATAATTGTAACTTTATTATGTGCGACAGTTGCATTGAGGTAAGTCTAGCTTCTTATTTAAAATATAACGAAACCAAAATATATCTAATTAAATAATGATTCTTTTCTCATTCAATTAAAATATAATAGTCAAATCAGTGTTAAATATATCTGTTATTTCTTTTTTTCTTCGTGATTTATGATTAATTGCAATCACCCCGATGATGACACTAATTGGTAGTTTCGATCTATTGGAAGGGATACACAAACGAGGCATACATTGCCATACTCTCCCGGGAAGGTCTGAGATAAGATCGTTGAACGTTCTAGACGGACGGTATCACAATGATATGTACGAGAACCAGAAATAGCTTTACGTTTTCCAAAATGCCAGGGATGCTTTTTTAACAGCAGAGGCGACTGGAAACGAAAAGTTGGAATCTCGTATGATTAGCTTTTTTAGTATAATCCATAAGTCTGGTATAATTTATACCTGAAACTCAATTCAGACTAATCCGTTGCTACCTACGATAGTTTACTGAGGGGTTTTATTTTTTATAGTGTTGTTTATTGAAAATGACCTATGGTGAAAATAAAAGTTTTTATAATTGCGCCAAATTGAAATCATTTTAAACAAGACTTACATTATTCAATTACAGAATTACTTCAAAAATCAAACAGAACCTCAAATGTGTCAGATGTGTTCTACGTACATGACAGCCTCGTCATTTACGAAAATAGATCAAACGGGCCGACCGAGACCGATTGTACGTATTTTGAATGTACCTTTGGTGTTGAGGCACGACACAACAAATGAGACGACGAATAATCGCAAAGGCACGAAACTTTTTGGATATCCGCATTTAATACGACTTCCGTCGAGAGTGAATGCACAGGATCTGTATGATATTGTCAAAAAAAATGTGCCGCACGAAGGACGCTATACAATTCATTTCGTTGATGGACAGGTAAGATATTTTCATTTCGTGTAAAATACAATATATGTACTTAATTTTTCTTTACAATAAAGTACAAATTAAAGGAAAAAGTTATTTATCTTTTAATAAAATAATTGAGTTACATAAGTCAGAATGCATTGAATACATTATCCGAAATATGAAGAATATAACAGTTAAGTAAATTAAATAGCAGATTTTAAAATGTTAGATAGTGACATGATTGTTGATATTCAAGTATTTTTCAATATGAGAATAGTAAATCTAAATTATTAAATATATTGTCATATCTAACTACAAAAAAGAAACATTTTTTGCAGGGTCATCATTGTTCACGTTGTATGTACACCGCGCATTGTACAGGATGTAGTGTACCTGAGACGGGAATGGTTGCGCTACAAAACGGTGATACGCTTGCGGTTCGTTATACCGAGTATGTTCCTAAGATCTTGCATCCCGTTGATCATGTTAGCGTCAGTAAACAACGACCGCATCATCCATTATCTCTTTATGATTGCCTTCAAGCGTTTAGTCAAAGGTAATTGATTTTTATGAGTTACTTTTATAACTATGCTAATTTAGGCATTCTTGAGCAAGATAAATATGTTAACGATACCTTGTACACATTACTCTTAATTTAACTATTATAAAAGATTATTTTATGCTTTGACCATAGTTTATTTCTTAAAATTGCAATAGTTTAAATGATCATATATTAGCGAACAATGCAAATATAAATAAATGAAAATTTTTTGTTAACATTTTTTATATAGAAAGCGAAAAATTATTATTATCTAATCAATGTTTTGATTTTTTGTTACTATTAATATCAATTAATTAGTATCAATTATCACTGCTGCAAACTGTTTTAACCCTTTAACTATGGATATGCATTTTTATTCGTCGTCTATTGACGGCAGCCGTAGTTAAAGGGATTTAGGGAACATTATGGTCTTTTTACAAAAAGTTAACAACAGTATTAAAACTCTTCAGAAAATGAGTCTTAGAAGCAGAGTACAAAATAAAAAGCAGAAAAGTTCTATAAATAAATAGAATCATATATCTATGATATATATCTTATATCTCAATGAAATATCAAATTTAATAAATATAAAATTAAAGATAATTTTATACATTAGAATATAAATTATATATTTTATATCTTGTTTAATATATTATACTTTTGGTATCTTTAGTGAAACTTTAGATGAACATAATCCTTGGTTTTGTCCGAAATGTGAATGTAACCAATGTGCCACAAAAACACTTACGGTACATCGATATCCCAAGTTCCTTATTGTATATCTTAAACGGTATGTATTCTTCATATTTACGAAAATATTCTATATATATAGATTGGTAAATTAAAAATATTTACATTTAAAATATTTACTATTAAAGATAGCTTAAACATCTTAATTGGTTATAGATTCGTGTTTTATGAATGCGCGAGTATGAAGCTAGATGATAAAGTCACATTCCCTTTGGTGGGTCTGAGCGTGGGACGCCACCTTTATGATCTCTATGCTTGTGTATGCCACTTTGGAGGTAAGATTTTAAAATATATTTATATATAATAGTGGTTTCCAATTGAATTATTTAATTTAGAAAGAATTTTATTCTGTATAAATGTCAGGTCTGGGAGAATTTTAACTAAAAAGATTTTTAAATAATTTTTTTTCTTAAAATAAGGATTGATTTAATTTATATATTTAAATAAATTATATACACAAATATGACATGATCAAAATTTCAGGCGTCTCCGCGGGCCATTATACGGCGTATGCGAAAAATCCTCGCACGGATGTATGGTATTATTACAACGATGAAATTACGAGTAAGCAGAAGCCACAGGATGAGGACTTTAGCAATGCGTATATATTGTTTTATAGTCGACAAGGGACCAACTTGAAGCCGTGCAATATATAACAAGTGGTGTATTTAACTTGATAGTCGATAGAATATGTCAATCAAACGGAGGAGAAACAATCGGGGATAGTGGTGAAAAAAAGGATGAAGTGTAACGGAAGAGGGAATTAATATTTTGTGTTCTTCCACGTGTTTTTTATTATGAACGTTTACTCGTGTATTTCTCATACGTTTGCAATTTTCCCTTTTATATATTTTGTTGTGCTTCTATCTTCCCTGTGCATCTCCTTCTCTCCTGCCTCTGCTAGAGTTGTATTTAAAAGTGCAACGGACTGCGTCTCTAATACGCTGTGTTGAGTTGCGCTGGATTATGTGAAATATTGATAGTCTGTGAATTTCTTTCGTAACAGTTATGCAATTACTGCAATGATGAGAGAATGTGTCTTCGCCGGTCTCGATTCTCTGCCGGTGATTATTCTGCGCTAGTGCAGCTTAGGCCTGTTTTACGAATTCAAAGAGAGAACTGAGCATATTTGTATTGCATATATTGTAAACGTATGTCGAATTTGTACAGTAGACGGTTAAATGTAGAACTCAAGAATTCTAAACACGTAATTTATTAGTGAATAAAGTGAACGTCATACTTGAAAAGATTTGAATTATGGCTTGCCAACGGCAAAGCATTCTCGCTGTGCTCCCTCTTTTCATCTCGGAGAAACGAGAGGATTTTGCTCATGAATAGCAAATGTTGCGTTTATTCGATATCTCTATGTTATCGTTTAAGTAAGAAAACATGGAGGGTTATTAAAGCGAGATAGAATATTAAACACATTTTATGAAACGCAATCACGTTTATGGATTATTTATTAAATTAGTTATATATTGCAATTTTATTACAAGATACACTAATCGCAGTTCAATATGCGCTCGCATCAGCGCAGCATCGATATAATACTGATGTTTCACGCGCGGATTGCTATATAAATTGTTTTAACATACTATGTTGTAACTTTACCGTATATATATGTATGTGTGTATGCGCAATCAGAATCAGTTTTCAAAGTTTTATTTATTATAAAACCAACTCGGGAGAAGGGAGGTTTTCGACGTCTTTTTTTCTGATATAAAAGAATCTTACTACCTCCGTGTTACAATAATTTTCTCGGATCGTAAGATGCAAATCTAGCTGATCTGGCCTTCTAATCTCTTTATAATGAATTCATTTGGATGCATTAACGATACACTAAGGTAATCATACATTTTTATCGAAATACATATATTAACATATATCATTTCTTTATTTTATGCAAAGTAATGTACTGCGACGATATACGACTATTTAATGCATTGCAACAAGAGCCTATAAGGCGTGCTAAAGTATAATGCCTTATCTAAATAATAATAAAGATATAAATTTGTCGTTTTATATATATATATATATACATATATATGTATATACATACATATATACATACATATATACATACATATATATATATACACATATATATACATATACATACATACATACATATATATATATATATATATATATATATATATATATATATATATATGCGTGCAGAAATAGCCATTAGCAATTTAAACAAAATTGCGTAATAGAGTAAGTAAGAAATATAGAGTCAGATAAAATTATATGTGCGTATTTGTGAAAAAAGTTTTTTAATAATACGTATATCTTAATCGGCCATTCTTATTAGTGCATCTGTTCTACTCAATATGCGCACTTTGCTGTACATTTAATAATAACTTGTTTATTCTTTTTTATATTTATGTTATGTTTACGTTAGATATAGCGCTTCATTATGTTTCTCGTTTTTCTATTATAGCCATCTCTTCGTCATTGTTTCCTATCATTCGTTATTCTCACGCATTCAACTTGGACACGCGTAATGCTTTCATCTTCTCTAGATAAATATTTCAGAACAAATGTATCGTATCTATATAGATAAAAGATTGAAAAAATTTCAAATTCTGATACTACAGATATACAACAAGATATTTTAAGTCAATCAGATATACAACAAGATATTTTAAGTCAATCATCGCTTTATAATCGTTACGAATAAGTATAGAGATAATTTTTCAAGCATTTGCAGTATCGAAATTTGAAATTCTTACCGAAAATATATCGATTTCTGATTTAAATCATTCGTATCGTATTTTATTAGGATTGCAAATCAAGAAAATAGCAACTATGTCTGCAACAAAGTAATATTTAATGGTTTGACAAAATTGAGAGACATTTGATATGTGTGTATTGCTAACAATATACATATTGTTTTCATTAATTATTACAAATTCAAAAAATGTGGATTGTCTTCCAGATGATTATGAAATTTATTTCACTCGAATAATGTATACTTTCTATTTATTTTATTTATTCGAATTACTTTATAAGTATTAATATCTATATAATTATATTGTAAAAGAGAAATCGCACTGTATGTGATAAGAATTTTTCTCCCGTAAATTTCTGTATTTCTATTCTTTGAAATTAACAATTTAAAAACTCTAAAATTTTTTTTATTATTTTATATCCATTTTTAATTTTTCATTTTAATGAATATTTCACTCACACGAAAAAGTAAATAGTTGAATATACAAATGACATATATATGATAATTTGCTCAAGTATACATTTATTAATTGATTTATTAATTAAAAAATGTATGTGAGAATAGACAAGAATTACAATATGTAAATTAAGACGATAAATATTTGCGTCTGATTAATACAATATAAACTTCAATCAATCTGGTACATTATTTTTCGTCTCGATATATTATTTTGAAATAATGTTGCTGTTTTCTTTTCAAATATGATACAGTCATAATACAGAAATATTCGTGCGATACATTCATTGTGAAAATTATTAGAGAAGATGCAGGCATTCTTGACACCACCCCGTTGATCTCTACGTATATTTTTTAAAATTTCTCATCTAAAATTTCTCGATATTGGCTTTGGTACCCGATCGGATCCCTATGTTCAATTTATGTACGCATTTATATACGTACGTCTGGTATTGTCGTTGTCGCGTAGCTACATTCGTTAACGCAGCGAAACAGTAAACCAAACAATCGCGCCGGGATGTATAAGGCCACCAATCTCGCAATTCACCGTGCGGGTCTCCCCGTTGAGAACAAAGAGCGCCTGGTTGGACGGGCTTACCATATATCGACCAAATATACCGCTTTGTATTATAGGTCTATTCGGATTACCCCATTTGGTGAGATGTGGCGGTGTTGCCTTTCCCACACCTGTTATCATTTCCACTTTGCCTGTAATGTACGCGCGTGTTAGTTTCTATTCAATCAGTTTTATAAACAATATGTATCAGTCTGAAAGTTGAATAGTCTTACGAGCTTTTTTAATTATTTCAGAAATTAAATTAAAAATTTAAATTTAAATAATTTTCGAAAGAATTAGGAGAAAATTATCTCACCAGTAGTCAAGTCTAGGAAGAGGATATCTTCCTTGTCTATCGATGAAGCGTATATATCATAACTATGGGTCGTCTGCGAGGGATAGAAAGCGATATCGCTGATATTTAAAGTCGTTTTTACGTCGAACGCGAATTTTAATCCATTTGCTAGAAAGATAATATAAATTTTTTTCATTATACATATAATAATTATCAAATTTTTGCAAGCTTATAATTTTTTTTAGCTAAATAAGCGCACAGAAAAATATGTAAAATATATTACGCAAAATCTCTTGCACTACAAGAGTGACGCCAGTGTCCTGTTTATCAAGAGTGACCAGATATCTGGAATCGGGAGAGATCGCTGGTTTCCCCAGGATGTTGGGCTTGTGGGCGAGAACGCTATCAGTGAGATAATCCAGCAGCACTTGACCAGTCGGACGAGCAGTGATCGGTTCTTCGCATCCCAGTATTACGAAGCCATCTAAAACAAGACGAATCAAATGAACGGAATCCGAAGAAAATATGCAAGAAAAAAAATATCGAGATAAAATAAAAAATGCTATGTTGCGTACATAAATCAGAAAACTCCACGCTTGTTGGCGCGCAGTTGTAGCTGGCCAAGTTGACGGTACGAGTATACCTCATGTTGGCCAGATCGAGCTTATACAAACCGTATTGACTCGTGTGGGTCACATATCCGTATTTGAATATATGTTTCGTATCCTAAGGAATACAATAGTTTGTTAATTATAAAAAAATAACTTCATATGTATGATATATTCAATTTTAATTATATAATACATCAATCTAAATTAAACAAGTTATTAATGAGAAGGATTCATTTAAGATAATTTTGAATGTATATATCATAATATATATTTATATAATAATTATTTATATAATAATTATATTAATTATTTTAATTTATATAATAATTTATATAAAATAATATTGGAAGACGAAGAAATGAGAAAGGGGAAACGTACTCGCTGTTGTGGGATATGTAGACCCTTCACAAGATCTAATTCCGCATAGAGAGGCTCCGGTCGTATGGTATGATGTTTCTTTCGCTGGGCAGCTTCCTTGATTATCTGTATGGTCTTGATGCCAACATTCATCTCGCTCCTCCAGTTCAGTACCCAGACGTAATCGAGATTCTGTACGTACCACAGATCCACGGGATTCTTGTCCGTCGCAACTACCTATGTGATCACATTGCAATTATTCCATGGCATTTACGACGACGTAATTGATAATAGAAGGAGGGATAATACGTACATCGATTATCATCATCTGCACTTCGCTAATTACAAGCACGCGATTCTTCTCCGGCTGACTAACGTATACGTATCTATTAGCGACGTTTATGGCACGTCCCCAGGAACAAGGAATGTTTTTCGGCCCGCAGACATATTCCTGTAAAAAGAAAAGGATAAGTGAAACGTTGAGCGAAGAAAAAATGATAAAAAATAAGAATGAATATATAATTTTGCACCTGAGTGCCGGGTATGATATCTGTGGATCGGATCTCGTGTAACGCGTGGCACGTGGATGGCTCGTATACCAAGATACCCCACTCGTGGAAAGAGAAAAATCTGCGTTCCTCTTCAGTCGCAACTGTATTTCCAACAATTCCACATCGATTAAAGGTGAGATAGATCAGAAAATTATAATCAATAATATTATATTAATGATGATGGTTAATTTTTAATGGTTTATTGATGAATTGATGCCACGAGTCTTTCTTATTAGAATAAGAGGATTCTTCACTCACTTGGTGTAGGTTGCTCCTGAATCACTAGACTGCTGATGTCTCTCGTAAGTCCTCCGGCGCTGGTCGCTTCGCACATGTAAGCACCGGTGTCGGCGTAATCGACTTTTCTTACTAATAACTTGGTGCCGTTGCCAATCACCTCGTATTTGTCCGGTCGATCCTCGCTCAGAGGTTTGTCATTCTTCAGCCATCGTACTCGTGGAAGAGGCTCGCCTACCACGTGACACTTCATCTTAGCTGCTCCTTTCGGTCGCTTAGATTGGAATTGTGGTGTCACTCTGACTTCGGGTACAGCTAAGATAGGGGGAGAGAGGAAGAGAGATGTGTTTGTGTCACTTTTGATTAATTTCAACAGGGAAAAAGTGAATTACTTTCTTTCTTTGATTAATAATATTTTACTATGTTCTAGAAGGTGACATCCTTTCTATGAGCAATAAAAATAATAGGAAAGAAGAGACGAGCAGCAATCGCGGAAAGCAGTTAGAAAGCAATTACGAGGAGTATTAATTTTAAATTTAACTGAAGTGATGAGATAACAAGAAAAATCAATTATATGGTTTATCTACTAAATTTTATTTTTTCATTAGCAAGATTAAGATCTATTTTATCTCATCCCCTATATCTTATTCCCCTATATATCTTCTTGAAACACTTACTGTAAATAGTGAGCATATGAGTTTGCACCACATCTTGATTTCTGAGAGCGTGACATGTGTAATTACCAGCATATTCCAACTGCACATTTGTCAGATAGAGACTACCATCATTGAAAACGCGAATCTGTGAAAGAGATTTTTTTTTCATATTATGTTAATTTTCTCACAAGATGTTAATACGATTTTCATTATCTGAAGAATAATATCGATTTGCTAAATCATTGCGTTCATTTTTCTAATCATTCCTTAAAAGTTTGCAAACATTTTGATTTTCTTTATTTCTTAAATTCTTTGGAGATCGCGAGATAAAGAAATAAAAGATGAAAGAAAAATTTTTTCGAATAAAAAATGATGTATTAAAAATAAAAAAAAATATATATTTGCATTTTATTTGAATAGCGATCTCACAAATCGATATTGTATGTTGCAGGATAACGACGAGGGAATTGTCATTCGAGAGGGATACCTCCGGCTCACTAAGATTCTCCACGTCCGTGCCGTAACGTCGCCAAACCAGGGGCGGGGGTGGTGTTCCGGTGACATCGCACTTAATCTCCACGTTGTCTCCGACTCGCGCGGATATGTGATTCACCTCGAGGGATTTGTCCAACGATACCACCGATACACCTGTCATCAGATTAGAATCTCCCTCGTATAGGTATCACATATGTGTATATACATTGTATTTGGATTAAATTGAATCGTATTCGCGGGGCGCACCGTTATACAAACTTTGCATAATAATTCCTCGCGGCCGTTTATATACATGTATGTGCGCGATGGCACTCGCGCGTATAGTCTGACAATTTACGGTGATGCTATTGTCCATGGACAATAGCGTCCCGGGAAGACCATTATAATGTGGATTAGCATAAGAAAATTATTTGCCGATGATTAATCGCTACGCCGAACCGAACTAATCACGAGGATAAGATCATTCTGTAACATAATAGTTTGATATCTCGCAAGGAACGATATGAAAGGTATGAAAAATTTACCAGGGATCTGTTTTAAATTAAAAATAAGAGTGATGTGAGGGATTAAATTAATTTTAATATACTTATGCAATTAATATAAATATACATTGATTTCTTTCTCATCGTCGGCTCACAAAATCTTCGGCAAATCCCTTTGTGATGAACGATCAACGAATCGCAGATACGGTACTTACTGTAAAGCTTACTGAAGGCCATGTAAAACTCGTTAACGTTCAATCTGCCATCGCCGTCCGTGTCATCGTAGCTGATCATATGGCTCAGATTGCATCCCACGCATAATTCCTCCATGTTCTCTTCCTCGGCGATCTGAATGTTGGAGAGAATTTAAGCGGGATTATTCGCGAGACGTTAGCGGGACGATAGGATGGGGAGAGATATCGCGTTACTGCCGTTAAAGTAATGGCCATCGAATAAATTTCATTCGCGAACGCCCATCTCTTTTTCGGTTTATTTAAAAGTCCGGAGAAAATGTGCTAATGAAGAAACACTATGTACGGAAGAATACATTCAATGTTAAATCACCTGCTCGAGCTCCTCTCGCTCCAAATTACCATCATTGTTTCTGTCGTAGTGAGAAAACATGATGCTGACCAAGTATTCCTTACTATGATTATCTTCGGCCATTAATCTCGCGTGGCTATACAGGAGCAAGTTATCCTATGGCGAATAAACAAAATGATGGTCTGATAATAAGTAATATTTTAATATTTTAATATGTAATATTGTAATATTTTTTTATAAAATTATGCTTAAATAGAAATAATCAAGAATTGTTATTAGATAAGATAAATTCTGCACGGAAAAATTTCAAATATCGAATTATTGACCTCACATGTCTAAGCAAAATATTTATAAATTGCTTTAATTTGAATATTTTACATTATTATTATTAAATGAAAAAGAGAATATTTATTTATTAAATTATTGGATTTATTTTATATATAATCATCTATTTGTGGTAAGAAGGTAAGCAGAATCTTTTGTCGTGTAAACTTCATTAAATATTTTTGTACGCTTTTATCGGAAGTTATTATGGGATGAAATCGATGACATACTTTCATAATTTCGTATTCTTGCGCTGAACATTTCTCGGTAACGTGATCGTCCTTTCGCGGGATCGATTTGCTTGCCGGATGATGCTTGCTCTTATTCTTGGACTTATTATTGGAATACAAGACATTCTTTTCTTCGGATGAGGTGTGATACGCAAAGAAATCCTTTCGTGCTTGCGCGCTGTAATTACCTGGAAATGACGGAATTACATTCCATCATAAACTTTGAGTTTCCGTAACGTAACGACATTTTCTTTTTTTCTCGCTATAACTCTTAACAAACTGCGCGGCTGCCATAAATTAATAGAAAGCTTCCAAGTTATTATTGAGTTTGCAACGAAAGCAAAGTTTTGTAAGTTCGCTAAAGATCGTGATTTCTCTTTAAAGTAAACAACAAATTCTGAAACATCGAAAACTGAAAGTATCGGTAAAGACATTTGGTTGATCCATATTCGATAAATTTGATAAGATACTTACATCTCACGTGTTCAATTATGAAAAATTATATATAATTATATTTCCATATATTATTATCCGAAAAATTGCACCAAAAACTGTGATTGATCTATATCTGCATTAGTTAATATATATTTCAGTTTGAAAGATTCGAATTTTATATTATTAACTGCAATCATGATCTAAAAGGGGATAATGGTACATTAATCGATTTAATGTATTCATTCAATAAGCTTGAGCTCTGACAATTTTTGCTAAGTAATTGAATTAAATAGACAATTAAATCTGATGTTAAATGAAGTTAAATAGACAGAGAGTTAAAATTAAATAGATAATTCAGTATGCACAGAGGTCGATAAACTCTAGCGTTCCATTTCGCTAAAACCTAAAATGTAAGAGAGAATCGATCGCATCAAATTAAAAAATTAATTCTCCTTCTCCTACATTATTATCGTTAGGAATTTAAACAAATATAAATTTGTTATAGATAACCAATAGAATAGCATTATTAAAATACTCCAATAATCGCTTTTTCTTCAACAATTTTATTAGGAAATAAGTACGTCTAAAAATTAATAGATATATTCGCGAAGGCGAAGAAAAATATCTGTGCGAGATAAACCTACATGCAAGAGCTCATTTTGACTCAGTTAATGTCTGAATTATCAAAAAAAACTATCACTATTTTCCAAAAATATCGCTACAATATTTTGCTGCAATTTTTCGGAGAAGAAAGGTTTCACTATTGCAGCGATTTTTCCCGCGCAATCTTTCTCGCTGTACGAAAGGGTTGAGAACGCGAACTGTCAACGAGGAGCGCACGTGCTCACCATTGCTCAGGCACCTGGAGAGCCTCCGCGTGGCTAACGGCGTGTCGGCGTTGCATGCAGCGCGATGCAGTTCGCAGCGATTGGCGTAAATCCTGCCGTTGCTCGCGCAGATCGGTCGATGCCGCCGCGTGCATCTTCGGACGCAGACGCACGCGGCGACGATCTCATCGCCGTTAGCAGAAACTTGGCACTCTCTTCCCGCGCCGCAGTACTTCTCCAGGCATGGATTGTCGACTGAAAGAAATTATGGGAAATATTCATGGATATGTTCCTGCGAGATATGGATGGATTGGGTACAGAGAGAGAGAGAGAGAAAGAGTGCGATACGCATCCCCTTATACGCGAATCCTTTCCCGTCAGCCGTATATGTTACGAGGCACTCGCATGAGATTGATGGATTGCATTTACATATCTTACATATGTAAATATATATATGAAAGTGGAATATCTCGCTCACCGCGAATTCACGATAAAATTGCCAATCATCCTCGTAAGGCGGACTCTATCTTGTTGCGATAAATCATTTTCCCCCTGCCCTCCCGGTGCGTCTTTGAGACTATTATTGTAACTGCCGAATCATTTTGAGATATATGTCCATTATTTCTTTCCATTTTGTATCACGAGACAATTTCATCATTTCGCATGATGGATGACACGTCAGGTATTCTTTCAAAAATTAAATATTTGAAAATTATCACAACGTTTTTTTACAAAGTGCGATATAATAATGTTTTGGATTTTATTTTTAACGTGCAATCTATATTTGTGCCTATGCGTAGTAGTTAGGGAAAAAGAAAAAAGATATGTTACAAACGATAACGTTATAATGAAAAAAAAAAGATTTCTTTGTCCGAATGTATTTCAATTGTTTTGCTGTCATCTTTTTTTTATTCGTATTGCGAGCATTTTTTCGTCATGTGCGCGTTTTTTTACGTCATTGCGATTTTATTGATCGTAGGATTGGTGCTTTATGCGATTCTGGCGACATACAGACTGGTTTAATAATGGCACAAGAATGTACATACGCATTTCGCTGATCGCAGTTCAATTAAACTTCTCGAATGGGACGAATTACTAATTAACGTACACGCGGAGAGAGATTTAACTGTTACTCACTCCTACGGGCGTGCCAGGATTCCGAATCTGTTGTGGATGCATCTATGTCTATCGAAGTCGATGTTGTGGATCGAATTCCTTCTGTGCTCGGCGATATGCCATTATCGTTGTCCGCCGTAAAATAACGATATCTCGAACGCTGAAAGCGATGAATGTGAAAGATATGTCAAAAGTATGGAACATAACGAATAAATTTTGCGCCTACTCGTGCTAGATAATAATTGTAAGAATGATATTGACGAATCATATGTTCTAGTGTCATTCGAATAACATGGAAAAGATTTATAAAATATCAAGGTTTTTAGGATGTTATGACATATAAATATACGATAATAAAAACGATGAATAAAAATAATAAGTCAATGAGAATAATTTATCGAAGTTACAAGAGCGTAAGTAACTTGCTTTGAAAAAAAAATCATATCGCTTTATTCGTTCTCTATATTTTTTATTATTAATTACAGTTACGTAACGTTCTATACAGAGTCTGAGATGCTTAGTTGAATGTTAATTTATCTGCTTTTCGCAGAGAGAGATAACTTTTTCAACGACACAATTTCGCGAACCTCGACTCGGAAAATCAAGAGCGCATTCAGCAAATTCGCGACGTATTTTCCGTGGGAAGTTAATGGTCCGTGGGTATTTCACAGAGACGTAAAGCTCCTTTCTGCGTTGCCGGTGCTGCTCGCATTATTCATCGTTGACAATTGAGGTTGCTGCTCAAGTCGCCGGAAGTTGACCGGTGCGCGGGAGGGAAGGACAAGCGGTTACGCGGTTTCCGGATAGGATCACACGCGCATCGAATCAGCCGAGGACGATGGGCGATGCTATTCAGGTAAATACGACGTAATGTCAATGTACACGGATAAATCGGGAGCGCGGGTCACGGAGTCGTATCACTAGATGATGCGAGAGATTCGCTTGATGGAGCGTAGCCAAGGAGATCCGTTGCTCGTAGAAGAGTATACTCATCTAGCGGTCATCTAGCTTTCGGACAGAAACTTTATGCGAGTAATAATGTTCGCGAGGGAGAGAACACGGCGAGAGGATACAGTGGAGACGTGAGGGATTTGTATAATCGGACGATAACTCGTGTCGCGACTTGAAACGAAAGCGCTTTGCCGGGGAGAACCTAATTCTAGTCACTAATCTTCTCTCCGCTTCTCTTTTGCACGAGATCTTGGATATAAAATTGAAATATAACATTAATTATTTCTCTTTACACGAGATTCACGTCGTTTATCGTATCGCTTTTTGCTAAAGAAGGAATTATCAAGAATCGTAATTATATAATAGAAGTAAAAATGCAAGGAAGTTAATTAAAACTGATTGCAGTAATTATGTTCGATTTTAATTGCAAGTCGGAGAAAAGAGAAAAAATTAATTGTTAATCATTCGATTATCGAATTGCCTTCTGAACTAAAAACCACTTGATCTTTCAATCTTTTCACATGCTGTGACTTGTGACTTAATTAAAATTATTTTGAAGAATGAGATCTTCATTATTTACAAATCTGTTTTAATAAAAGTACATTATATTAGGATTGATAGAAAAATTATATGTGCTTACTTTGTATCGAAGTATATCGGAACCAAGTGCCGGGGCAATATAGGTCGAGATGATTGAAAGCAACAGGAGATAGAAGGTTGCGAGGCAAGACTTTAGTCGCATCTGAAAAATATATATCAGAAATTATATATATATATATATATATATATATATATATATATATACACACATATTGCTTTATTCTTTCATACTGTCTGTTTTCATGTTATTTTCTGGAAGTAAATAAAAAAAGCATAAAAACGTAGTTTAATAAAGATATGAAGGTAGCTTAATCCAATACAGATTATATTCGGTTATATTGATAGTTTTAAAAAAGAAGTAAAATCCACTGCAATTAACTAACAGTGGATTTAATCTAGCAGAATATATTATAACTATTAATTTTACACATTTGTTTCACAATTATTTATTATAAATTTATACTGCTTTAAATATAAAAAATATATATAAAAGATTAAGATAAAATATAATCTGTATATGTAAGGCAACTTTAAAAACACATTCAATATGTATTACAAATTGGACAATTTAATTAATATTAAATTAATGGAAAATTGACGAAGATGACTTAAACACTAAATTAATCAAATTTTACTTATATTTAGTTAGTTTATAAAATATGTCTCTCTTCCTGTCTCTTATATGAAAAATAAATTATTTTAATTTTTTATTTTTAAGATTTTCTCTGTAAATATATAAAAATTTTTCTTGCAATTTCTTTTCAATAATTTTAGACTCAAGTAAAACAGAAAAAAGCACAGGATGCAATCATACAATCAAGTAAATTTTTTTGTCTGTCTGCAATTTAATAGCGCGAGAGATCAAGTTATATTTTTTTAAAATTTTTTAAATTATTTTTAAATTATTTAATCGTTGGTAATTTACGTTCTTTTGATCTAATGTAAAGCTACCAGCTCTTTCAATAGATGTATGCTGCGAAAGAAAGGGGAAGGAGGGAATCGTGATTCTATATGCCTGGAAATTCACAGTGCTATATTACGGAGACGTTTACACGGTAGAGGTTGGCCCATCTTAAATCTCCCGATTAACTTCGAGTCTGTCTAGTCTATATTTTATTCCGAGCAACGCTCGGAAATTTACCATAAGAATGGCACAAAAATCGTATCTTATAATTCGTATACGAATTATAAGATACGATTTTCGTGCCGAGGATGCAAAAATATTGGGTCGCTATAATTGACATCATGTTGTATAAGAAATACTCTGATTGTGAATATTTTGTATTAAAACAATAATTATTATTTATAAAGATTTGTAATTTAAATATTGTTTGTGAAAAGTTTATAGAAATATTCAAATAATTCTTGTAATATTATAATTATTTAAAATGTTTATCTCTTTTTCACCTTGTCAAAGAAATATTGACAAATATTGACAAGAAACATGAAATACTTTTTCAACAGTCATTTCGAATTATTTAATCTCAATTTTTTTATTTAAGATATATTTAAGATACATTTAAGATATTCTTTTATTTTGTCAAAAAATTTAATAGAACTTGTAGTTTCTTCTTCAAGTATTCGATTTAGTTTGATTTTTTTCAGATGAGTAGAAGATACAGAAAAACTACGACTTCATCGTTTGTGAACCACTGCTGTCAGTCCTTGAACGATTGGTGATGATAAAATACAGCAGTATTTTTGGTCGGCCACTTAGCCTGTTTCGGAGCAGTTGGGTAGGGATGGGCAACACAAGGGCCTGTTAGTTCTTCTTCGATCCCGGTTTAGTAAACACGTGTTCCTTCATATAAAGATTTCGAAAAACAAGCTGAATAGATTTCGAGGTAGAAAATTTCGTGCGAAGATTCGTGATTTATTTCGAAACATAATAATCATTATAATATGAGCTTTATCTTTAGACTTTTAAGATTTAATCAAGTATTGAAATTTATTGCTCGCGGTTTTTACAATTTTATTTATATATTTTCCAAAGTATTAATATATTTTTCACACACACATGCACACATATAATTTTTATATAATATTTATCATTCAATATTTTTTATATATTTTTTTAAATTAAATTTTCTTTGTTCATATTTTTTTATTACACATCTCGCTATATTTTACGTTATAACAATTATATAACAATTATGTTACAGTATTATTATTTTAATCATTCATTTTTTACATATCGTATCTCTAATCATTATAAATAATTTGACATTTCTTTTATTGCGTGTAAAGCAACTTCTCTCAAAGCTTGATGATTGAATCCGCAGATTTCGGGTGTTTTACAGACTGATCTTCGAAAGAGCGACAAATTCGCGGGAGGAATGACGTACTTTTTACTCGTCGCTTGCATCGCGTTACTCGGTGCTGTCGAGGAACCGTTCGTTTCAGCCGCACCATCTACCACCGGCTCCCCCGAAAAGACCACGACCGTTCCCAACGGTGTGAAATTCGACAGGGATGCGCAGGACGCGGACATCAATAATAATCCAGGGTCCGCCTGTCCGTGCTTGACGTCGGTCAATAGTACGTCGACAATCCCCGGACAATCGGACTGGTTGACGCAGCAACGGCGGCAACATCTCGAGCAGTTCTACTACCAGAACGTCATGGTGCATGGTATGTTGTGCACGTGTAATTTCGCCATGCGCGGTGCCCCGATGCGGGATGATTATCGTTACACCATGGGTATGGGTGCCCATAAGATACACACGAGGGCCGCCACATGGAACGAGGCGAGGAAGTTGTGCAACGAGGAGGGCGGCCACCTCGCCATCATCAATTCCATCGCCGAGGAACACGTAAGAATTGCTAAATCCGATCGCGAATTAATATTGCTCTCATATAAAATATGTGCGATAATATCTGATCTCTGTATAATTTTTTTCGAACCTACGAGACTTCTCAAAGTTTATCAAGTAACGTAGCTTATATAAGACGTGATGAATATCTGGATTTTGATGAGTATCATATCTCTATATATTGGGACCTATATATATTTAAATTTACGACGACTTGATGTTTATTATCTAATCTAATTAATGCTGACATATGCGTATGGTTTTTCCTTATCGATCCTTTTCCTCAGGTACTGCTAGAGATATTTAATCAATCCGGACCGGTCATGGGCGCCGCGTATCCGGACGAGGCCTTCTTGGGTATACACGATCTTTACAAGGAGGGTGAGTGGGTCACGTTGTTGGGAGATTCTCTGGCAAGAACCGGTTACACCAGGTGGAGCGATAAGTGGGGCGGGCAACCCGACAACGGAGGCGGCAAACAGCACTGCGGCGCTTTAATGAAAGAGGGTGGCATGGACGACGTCGCGTGCGACGTCCCATTTCCATTCTTCTGTGAACTTCCGCTGATGCACGCTTTACATTGAAAAAGAAAGAGCCTCGGCGGTACCGGTCAGGGATTAAGCATCGTTCGCATAAGGTTTACACGCCGTTGCCATGTGCAACGTCGTATCGCGACCTTATTGTAGCTGCATTATGCAGACATCATCTTCGCGCAAAGGTGTTCTTTTTTAATACAGAAAGAGTTTTTCCTTTATTCTCTCTGTGAAACGTGCGATGTCTCTCTGAGAACTTTGTCCGCCCGAGTTTCTCTTCTCTCTACGAAAGGACACCCGTCGATGAAATGTTCAGACCATTTTTATGTATGTTTAAAAGACCTTTTCCCAGATACTTTTTCTTCAATTTGTCGAAATTCTTCAAAAAAATCTGTCTGTTCCTTTTTCTCCTTTCTTACTTTAACGAGCAAAGTGTAAATAGATACACATTGTCGATGTTAAAATTAGCTATTCTAATTAATTACTCGTTTACAACACGGAGTCTTATTCCACCGAAGCTTAAAATCTCTGCTGTAATACAACGATACTATTACGCGTTAAATTACATCGCGTGAGTTTACAGCAGTTTCGAGAATATTGCGTTACATCAACAATGTAACCGTTATAACGCAATCATTACGCGAACGATACTTAAACATTGACGGCGCATTTATTCGCGTTACCACTTCATACATGTATTACAAATCGGATCGATATCTCTGTCCGAATTTTTTCCTCTTTACGATAGCTTTACTCCGTGTGTTATACACACCGGAATATAACTTATGTACGTATCGCTGCGATTTATGTTTACGAAAAATATAGCTTTACATTTCGGAAAATAAAGAATTTATAGAGAGAGATTGAGAGAGAGAGAGAGAGAGAAAGTGGAGCAATGTAAACCGATATTGCGAGCGATGTAAGCCGTCGGTTTGTATTTATGGCGCAGTGGTAGAGCTAGAAGTTTTCGAGTTTGAGTTGAAACCCCGCTAAATTGCACCCGCGTGAAATTGAGAGGCACGCGGAAAATGAAGACGAAGCTAATTTCGGATGCAGAAATCGTACTCGTGAAAATTGTAGCCATCGAGAGAGAACAGACGTCGAATACAAGCGGATGATATAATTTTCGTGTGTTACGTGAAATCAATCGAGCGATCAATATTAACGCGAGCGGCATGCTAAAATTATTATCGAGATATGACGTGTACTTTATATTAATGTCCTTATTTGTTACCAGGAGTGCATAAATCAATATGTCTTTTATGTCTTGATATATTTTAGATAGTACTTTTTAATACTAATAACACTTTATACGAATGGAATAAATGATACATTTCTTGATTTTCGCTGTCAACTTTTCTCTCATTATGTTTTGATTTTCAGAACATTATATTATTCTAACAAAAGACTCGTAGTTTACTCCAGTCCATTTGTAAATTTTCAAAGAGAATAATAGAGGAATATGCTTGACTGCAACGTGGCGCGTCGATGCAAATTTCCAATCAAGTATAAAATTACATTGTCCATTTATAATTCATGAAATGTAGCCGTTTCCAATATTTCAAATTGTTTGAATTATAAAGAAACTACTAATATAATAATTTTTCGTTTTTTTTAAAATTTTTTTCGATACGTTGGATTCCTTCTATGTATACATTTTTATATAGAAAATGTAAAATATTACGTAATGTTTTTGCAAACTATAAAAGAATGTAATGTAATATAAAATGAGATGATCTTTATAATATCGAACATAGAATATCGCATATTATTTTCTCAAGGGAACAAGATTCAAGAGAAAATATCACAAATTTTTTAATGAAATACTTAACATCGTCAAAATATTTCTATTCAATCTGCATAAGAGATAAAAGCCAGTTAATAATTGTGTGGCTTGAACAATCCGGCAACTGTAATTACCGACAATATTGCGGCATTCTGTTGCAGTTTGGCGAATTGAACGACAAGGAATGTATATAAGTCTATTTTTAGTTTTTATTAACAGAATCACGAAAGCGAGTTACGTGGTAAAACATCGATTTAGTAAATCTTAACGAAATTGGTTCTTCTTTCATTAAATGCAGTTTTTTTGCTACGCGAAAGTTCGCAAAAAGGCAAGAAATAACTTTTCTTAGCAATTCTTATTTAAACGTTTATACTTTACGTACATAATATAAAACGCTATTCTTCCATTGCAATAACGTTAACAGTCTTCTTAACAGTCTTGCTTTAGTTTCAGTTTTGATCAATTTTCTTATTTAATTATTTTTTATCGAATATTTTTTTATTTAACAAAAGTGTTTTATTGATAATTTTTGAACAATTAAAGTCTGCAAATATAAATAAATTGTATATAATTATAATCTTTAATTGATTTCATATAAATTAAACCGAATATTAATTTGAAATTTAATTTAGATATGTGTAATATTGAGATATGAAAATTGCGTTAAATAATGATATTTCCGAATTTTTTTTATTAATAATGGAAAATTGAACCCAAATTAAGCGGTGATGATGATATATATATGTACATGCTTTTGCTATTTGTGTACTGTTATATTGTGTACTATTATATTGTGTAAAATATGTTTTATTAATTATATCGCAGAGAAGTTATTTCAATATAAAATGTGACAATTTAAATAGGATTTTCTCTTTGTGCAGATTGTATAAATTTCTCATCATATGTAAAATTAATGATATTCGGTAAAATTTGTGCTGCAAATTTTATTGAGCAAATATGATGCTTATATTCTATTCTTATACGCTTTCATATAAATATGTATGGAATGGATTGAATTTTTTTTTGCACTTCGTGCAAATAGGAATTTAATATCGATGTCCGTTCGAGATATGCAACAGACGCAACTAGCTTCCGCTAGTTTCGCGAAAAACTTGCATTCAAACCTCAAATTACAATAGTAGAAAATGTAACAAAAACGAAAAATGGATTTTAATCGGTCATATCGTCGAGGTACTTTATCGTCATATATGAAAACGTGAAAAAGAAGACGATGAAATAAAATTGCAATTATTATACATATATACATTTTACCCGCGAGCAATGTCGTCGCTCATCGTTTCGCACGATTCGCATTTAATGATGTTGGAAATCGCTGTGGAAAATGTATGTGAATTTTTTCTTTGTATTTTAATATGATTTTCAATTTTATAATTTATAATATTTCTCATATAGATATGTATGTCGAAACTTAAACCATCTTGAACATTTCTTAGATTTAAAGAAATTAAGATTATATTTAGTTTTATATATAATTTTTATATAGCTTTTGTAATTTCAAATAATGATTTGTAGTATTTTACACTTTCATAATTTGTCCATTGCAATTTTTATCTTCTTTGCAATAAGTATTTTCGTATCTTATATTTATTATTATTATTATTATTATTATATTCATTCATTCATTCATTATTATTATTATTAGCTAGGCTTTGCATACAAATTTTAATAATTTTTAGGAATAATATTTTTTAATAATATATTAATAAAGAGTATAGAATAAAATCACAGAAATAGATTAAAATATATATAAATTACAATTTTTGTCTAATTATCATGGTATAATTGCGGATATCAGTGGAAATCCTGAGATAAAGGAGTCAAATACTTTCATATTCTACAATTTTATAATTAAATACGAGACACATTAATATCTAATTTTTGAAACCATTATTAGCTTACAAATAATAATGAATAAGTTTCGATGAATTATCGTCGCGCATTAATGGTCGCAATAAACAGTTGTTTATCCCTTGGACCTCCGAGTTCGACAAAGTCATCTTGAAGAAGACGATCGTTATGTTTCGCATGCTGGACGAGGAGTGGACATCGCTGGCGCCGAATCGGCGCGATCATCGCCCTTATCGCGGCTCCTGTTCCGAAAACGAGAATTTCTACGGCGGTAAATCCATCATCTTTTGCGTACCTGCAAGATTCTTCGAGAAAAAAGCGATCGATGTCGATGTACAGCTCTACGTGCAGAGAGAAATGTGCGAGTATTTCGAGATGGACTTGTGCCAGAACGTCGGTTTCGCCACCGTGTCGGTCGATGATCTTCTGAATGGCATCGCCAAGCAGATGCGCGAGCGGAACGAATTGTCGGAGCATTTGTCGGACTTGTATAAGCAGCAGATTATCTCGAGGTGATTGCGCCGAAAAACACGAGTCGATAATTCGCCAATCGTCGAATCGGGGGAAAACTTTGTATTTCATCGAAAGTTCCGATCCAACCGTTCGATCACGTTCATTGCCGGGTTCGTAAAGAGAGGAAGAAATAGCTGGCGTAATATTGTTTGTTCTCAATAATGCTTCTTTTCGTATTCTTTGTACGAAAGAGATCATTTCCGTACACAAATAATTATTGAGATACATAGTTTGACGAAAGAAAAAAAAATCTTCCGCAGAGTTTGTAAAGGAAGTACTCTTAATGTGCATGATAGATAGGCTGCATAATAATAGGACTTTAATAACACGTTCAATATATGATTTAAGGTCCGCGACGGGAACTTATAATCTGCTTGACGAAAATTTCCGGAATACCGCGGCCACGATCTCACTCTACATCCGGATCAGCTGCCTCGGCAAGTGCCTCGTAACCGAGATTACACGCATCGAAAGTGGCATGTACGGCGCGTTCTGCGCTCGTAAGGAATCGGATAAGGAACAGTATCTCGCTCGACAGTTGACACCAGACGAGCTTCAAAGCGGTCACAGGGACGTCAAAGATTTACCTCGTATCCCTCGCGGACGCTTAGTATGCCGCTGCGAGGAGCTAAGAAAGAAAGATCTCCCCGCGGATTTAGCCGGTAATTGATTCCATTGCTTTATACAGAGATGCTACTTTCAAGTCTCTTCTACAAGACACGGAAAGAGCGTTATCTGACTTAATTCCAGAGAATAAAGCTCTTTCTTAAGTACAGTTAAGCCGCCGAACGCGACTATTCCATCTTGGTGATCCTATCATTTTTTTATTCTATGCAAAATGTACGTCTATACTGAAAAATTAAATGAAATGAACATCTTGCGAAAGCCTATTACGTTTCATATAATAAGATTTTTCAAAATAAGTGATCATTATTTTCGTTGAATTCAACGGAATAGAAATCTATACAATTGCATTTCATCTGAGAATAAATGACGCGATTGAAAATGCATTCATGTATTGAAACATAATTGTCGGCAGCGAGAAAAAAAAGAAGAAGAGAACCCACTGCGCGCTCAGCTGACGCTGATAGATTTGTCACGACACCTACTACAAATGCAGCGCGAGATGCAGTCGGGATCGCAAAGACGAGGAACTCAATTGCAAAGAATCCTGCAGACGTTGCCATAATTAAAAGGGAAGAAGCACTCGCTGATTACGGTGCCTTGGACGATGCTGATGTAGATGCGCTTGAAGACGCGCAGGAAAAAATCGTCGTGACAGATGCTGCTGCCATAGCTGCAGATACTGCCATAGCTGCAGATACTGCTACCATAGCTGCAGATGCTGCAGACGCGATTAGAAGAAAAGTGCCTACTGATAATCTTGGTGCTTTAGGTAAAATAGATGTAAGTATCAATGCAGGTGCATTTGCGGAAGTTATATCATTTTACAAAATCTCGTCCGAGTATCTCCAATTCTTAATATAATTCTTCTAATTATCTCTTTTTCACGCATAAAACTTTAATATATCTTTGAATAGAAATATTACAGAAATTTGTGGAAAAAAAGAAAAAATATTTATCTAAAGTTATATTAAATTCCGAGAGATTTTTGAATATATAATGTATAAGAGAAATATGAAATATTTCCTCTTCTCATAGATGCCAAAGAACGTGCAATTGCGAGAACGAAAGCGAAAAGAGACGCGATAAAGGATAACGGAAGAAAGACTTTCAAGAAAGCAAAAGATACGGCAACAATCGGTATCGCGGAAAGAGGGATGAGAATCTTCCCTTCCGTTCCTGCGTCCGTGTCTCCGTGTCTGCAAACATATCCTTCGTGTTTTCAATTGCAACCACTTTTAACTTGTTTTCCCTACTTCGACGTTTCGTTATGTTGCCCGTGTTATAGGACGAAGGACATTGTCAATTGTCCTCTTGAATTCTTTCATTGTGTGTAACGAGTTCGTTCTTCCAGCCTTTCGCGACAATGAGTCGACAGCTAGTGTCGGTTGAATAATTAAACCAAGACGGATATTGATTGAGTCTCCTTCGGGTTCTTAGGATTTCCATAATTTGATTCTTATTCCATCTTTTATTCTACTTTTATTCCATCTTTTGTTATTATATTTTCTTTCACATTTCTAATGTCATGCGGTGTCTTTGAATGATGATTTCTTCTGATGCATTAATGAAATCGGACAACCGTGAATGTCCAAATTATCAAATCATAGAGTTGAAATAATGGCAGGCTGATCGACTTTTTTTTTAAATTTTTTAAATCCCGTTTTTATCAGTTTCAATCGAACGTAATGACGCAATCCAATCAATGTAATATTATTCTGATTTCGCTTACTTCACGAATTGTGTATTTAATTATAAGATTACAATTGAATTATTTAATTTTACAATATGAGACATAAGACCTGTCAAATATGTCAATTTTGAAAAATTTCTATCTTTATATAAAAAAAATTTAATATCACGAGTTATTTATGTAAATATTTTCTACAAATATTGACTTTTTTAAATGCACATATTCAAAAAAGTCTGATAAAAATTTATTTCTCTCTAAAATTAATTTTAATGAAGGAGAGATTTTTTATTTCAAATTTGTTATTTAATAGGTTTTGATGGTTCTAAAATATGTAAAAATATTAAGAAATGAGAAGTTCTTTTCTTTTCTTTCAAATTTCTTTTAATGCAGATGCAAAAAGTTATCTGCGTTAAAAAATAAAAAAATATAGTTTATTATGAAATATATATTTATTATATCAAAATGATATGCATTTTTGACAAAAAATATAATTTCTTTATAAATTATTCTGTTCTGTTTTGAGAATGAGTGCAATAAATTATGGATATAACGAACAAGGTATATTTTGAAAAATGCAATTATTAACAAAATGTTAGATTTTACGATATTATTTTTTAGAATTATATTTCATTTTCGAATGGATTTATGTCAAATAAATTTAATTTTTATTATTTTAAATCAAATGATCGCGATATGAAAAAAATCTTATCGAATCACAAGACAAAAGATGTAATCATTGAAATTTCTACGTCGCATGATAATGGTTAACAAGGTGAAAGCCTTGTTTGTATTCTCATAACTTTACGCCTCTTTAATAATGCATACACGTGACAATTAGCGAATTCGGTTGGATGCACTAGTGAGCATTAAATGCGCCCTTTCTCCGTTTTTTACAATAGCTTTTTTCAATACCAAAAAAAAACTGAATGAAGCAACATTTAGTGCGCACCAGCGCGCATTAGTGTAGCTAATCGAATTCGCTATATGATTAAAGAGATAAAAAGAACATTTTCATGCCGCTCTCTTTATCTTCATACATCGGATAGCGTAATGCGCGGCTACGATAAAAGGCGACAAAGTTAATTTTACGTAGCCAAATATGCGCATCGTAATTTGCGAATCGGGAATACGTTGTATATCATTTCATACAATTGCTTGGATTTCACATTCAAATTTCATCTGTTTTTTCATCAGGAATCTCCAAGCGTTTTTCGATCAGAGAGATTGAATATCAAAATCATTTCGGTAGCGATTGTCTATATATCGATACTGCATACAGGGTGTTTTTAAACATTTGCGAAATTCGGAAAGTGATTTCTTGGGTAAATTCTTGAAAAAAAATTCATATGCAGTGTTCTAAACGGCACAGTTTCTAAATTATAGAATGTTCAAAGTTAAATAAATGATTTCAAAAGTTAACAAAATTAAAAGATAACAAAATTATAAAAAAGAAACAAAATTATAAAAAAAAATTATAGGAATTTTTGAAAATGATCACCTTCTGTCATAATACAAGAATCTGTTCTTTTTTTCATTGATTAGTGAGTACACTAAAAAATACCAAGTGTGATGTTATGAATTGCTTCGTTAAAGATCCAAGTATATAATTCCTTAAATTTTTAATATTTTTAATCGGGGTAGTATAAATTAAAGATTTAAAATGGTACCAGAGAAAAAATCTCCAAAATATCTGTGTCAATTCTGGGGATCGAAGTGGCCAAGATTGAGTTGTCTTAAATATTCTTAATTAAATACTTTAACATTCTATTTCGAAAACTTAAGCAAATTTAAGATAGTGTGTATATAAATTTTTCTTCAATAAACTACCAAAGAGATTACCTCCCAATTTTTTTTCGAACATTAAAAACACCCTGTATAAAAGTATCTGTACCTTTAAAATTGCGATTTTTAAAAACCTTTAATGATATACCGATATTGAACTGGATGCGATAGATGGATTTTTCAATTCTTATCGACAAAGAGCAAACGATCTGCACCCGGAGGTGTAATACGGAGGAAAGCAAAGTTAATTAAGGGAAAGCATCGATTTCGTTAAGTGAAATCTGTATTTATTATAAACTGTATATGTGAGTGAAATTCTGATTAATAAATGAATTAGACGCACAAGAAGGAACCGACTGGGAAAGTTTCCCTTTTAATAATGCCTAGAAAGTTCTCTCTTTCGGACACGACGGAAGAGTCGTATCGCAACTTCCGTAAAACTCTATCGATTTTCACCGCAATAGTGTAAAACGAGATTCTCAGGGAAACAACGCATTTAAATCTGCCGATGACCATTTATTCCAAGCAATTGGTTCTCAGCTCACTAGCTTAATCGATATGAGTAGCAAGGTACACGGAATAATAAATATATTGCTCTAAAAAGTCAGACGTATAATTCGTATGCAAGTTACATACCCGTTTATACATACGTATTGTTTATTAAAAAATATATCTTGCACAATTAATCGCGACAAACAGTGCGTTAAGTCGATTTATCTTTACGTCAGAATATTATTCGCGCGGATATCATTGCTCCGAACAAATTTACGGGCTTTCGTGCGCAATCGTGCTTTCTTATATCCATTGTTTCGGTACCGAACGCGATCTAGCGTGCATTTCCGCCACGTTAAGCTCGGGGTGGGATTAAAGGAAAGAGGGCAGGTTTGTAAACTACACAATGTAGGCAGGCTACGATAGCGGTGCATTATCCGCATTTATGCCGACAGAAATCCCCCGGCTGGTTCATACATATTAACGTAGGAGTCATTGCGCGAGGCTCCTTAAGCGGAAAACAAAACGGTCGGGAAAAATCACGACTGCGCTTTATAATAAGCGACACCACCAGAGCCAACGTTTTTCCCTTGATTATTAACACCATAAATTACACCGGCGCGTTGTTCACTATAAAATCAGACGACAAAATCGATGTCGATGCAACGTAATATAAATTTAATATAAGTATGCGATTTTTAATACTTGAATAAATAATTGATTGGAATTAATCTCTTTTATACACTTTTACTTTGGAAAAGATACTCTGACTTCAAAATAGTATATTAATTCTCGTTATTCAATTTGGATATCGCAGTACATTAGAGTAACATACTGGAGTTAATTCGATAAAAAATTGAAAAAATATCATTAACATTACTTTTTATGCTCTTGATCATTGCACCGAGAATTGTTTCTTTTTCGTCCAAGCAAATTCTTTCAAGGCGAGAGAATTTAAAAAAATGTGATCTGTAGAAGCTAATGGCTACAATAAAAACATAGAACGTGCTAATACACATAACGGAAAGTGTGGCTGACATTATTAGTTCCGGAAACTTCCCAAGTGCATTCGCACAACTAACTTGTAGAAGAAAGCTCTTACAACACGGATGCTCGCATCGAAAATGACAGCTCATTTATTATCCCATGATTATATTGTAATTATAAGTGCTTCCTATATCTCGATGTATGCATTATATATGCATAGTATTTCGCGAAATTTATAAGAATATTCAGCCGCATCGTGTGACAGGATATTTCGATATAATGATTTGTTAAAAGAAGCGGAAGATTGAATAATCGTCGCGAGGTGAGATTTTATACATTTTTGCACGTACTTTCACTCCATCCTTTAATCGAGTTTCACATCAATCGAAAATTGAACACATCGTGTGAACAAGTTGCCTTTGTTTCAATAAAAGTGTCGCCACAGGTGTTTTTCTGGAATTGAATGTTTAATCGCACAAGTTAGGATTTTTGCGATTTATTAACTCGCTAAACTTTTATTTAAAAAGTTCTTTAAAGCAAGTAAATGGTACTCACAATTATGTGTAAGTCTTGA